GTATTCCACGGAATTTGCACAGGCTTCGTCATTGAAACTGAGATATATAGTAGACATTAATTGACTTTAAATGTTCTAATTTGTCGTTTCATTGATAAAAACTTGAGTTTCGTGAGATCTGAGTTTTCGTATCTTTCTCAGGACATTCGATAGCAAAATATTCATTGTTCCACGAAAGATACCTCTGTAGGGAGTTAGGTAATATTTTTATACGCAAACTCAAGAGGATCCATTTGTCTAAAATGAACCGGTATGGTTCTGTTTAAAAAAAAAAGTATAACTGTACTTTGCAGCTGCATTCATGCGCGTAAATCAATAACAGCGAGATAGGAAGTTAGAGACACGTAAAACCATGCGAGTTTACCTTTTAGTTTCCTTTTTCGAATCGCAAACAATAGAGTCCACTCGAGTTCCATGGGATTTTCCGTATCAGCGTCACTTTTCATCTATTTGCAACAATTCGGGTTAGAAGCGGCCCATTTTTCGACGCAGACAGAACTGAATATCCCTACACTCATCCTCTGATGATGGCTGACTGGTGACAGTCCGTGTGTTACCCATTGTCTATGTATTTGCAAGCTTTCTGAATCTTTTTCAAATGACAGCGGATCGTAGAATGACTTCGAACTTTTGACTCAGTTTATCAACAGCAACAATCGAATTTTAATCAACAGTAATTGGTAAAATGTCTGCATCCAGTCGACGTTCTGACTATTACAAGGGAAGAAGATACTAACTGAAAATAAATTGTTTCGGCGCTGAAATGATTAAAACGTAATATACAGTATTAATTTTACCGTAATTTTTCTCTTCGTAAACGATTCTTACAAATATCGATCAATACAATTACGAAAGAGACATCTGTAAATAATACTTAGTATTATATAAATTGTACAGTTTTAATGGTTTAACAATTCATGATCTGTATTATATTTAACAACTTTATCTGGCACGTTAGATGCTGAGAGAAATACACTCTTGCAAAATATTGTAACAGCATGATTTTCATTAATTCCCATTGTTTTACTAAACAATTGCATATAAAACATTTTGAAAATAAAACTCTTTTGAATTTGAAACATGTTGAATATAATCACTTCGAATATACCCCGTGAATAATGAATTAATGTTTAATAGAACAAATAATGTGTTTGTTATTGAACTGAATTCTAATTATTATATAAATATATTCCCTATACAAAAGACTATCTAGATACAAAAATCTTCAATATCACTAATGAAATCATGTAAGTACTTCGTTTGTGAATAGTAAAATTATGATACCCGAGCTAAAACGTTTCACATTCGCCATCTATTGAGATATTCGAAAACTTTTCACATACAATTTACCCTACGCCTTACCCGACCCCTACAAAATCAAAATTAAATCTCAGAATCAGTACCACCACAGACGAAATATACGAGTAGATCTTTCACCCAATGTATTTTTTCGGCCCATTTTTATGGAGTCTCGAAACCCCTTTACCATTTTCGTGTCATTCGCAATATTACCAACAGATTCAGAAATGAATTTTAATCCCTTCCATAGTCAACTCACATATATTTACGCAACACTACAGCTATTTGCCTATCAATACTAATTCAGTGCCTAGTTTCTCAACTAACCGCCATCCATGAGAAGAGGCCGCTAAAATCAGCTCCGAATTTTCAGGTCGGTATGGCAGTCAGATTCGGCCGCGAAAGTCCATAAGGTGAAAGGTCTATTCATATATCTCGTCTGTGGGGCCACGAAAGTCCATAAGGTAAGAACACAGACGAGGTATACGAATAGACCTTTCCCCTTATGGACTCTGATGACCCGATTTGACTCCATACCGAGTTATTTTTTAAATAAATGATGAAAATAAAAAATAGAGGATTTTCGGTGTAGTTGTCAATGAGGTACGTCCTTACGTATTTTAATAATGTTAATCGTAAAATTAATCGATTGATGCTCAATTCTGGACCGCACAACTTTCATTCCGTTAAAAAATACTAAAATTTATGTAATTTCATTTTCTGTCTCACTTCTTCTTGTGTTCATTTCTAAATCTGTTGGTAACGCTGCGAGTGACACGATAATGGCAACGGGGCTCTGGAGCCCCAGAAAAATGGGCGGGAAAAATACATTGGGTGAAAAGTCTTACTCGTATACATATTATACCTGGTCTGTGCCACTTTAAACGTTAATAACTTTGTAACGAAGCCCCCATCAACTAATTGGTATTCTTAATTTGCGTCTTATTTTGGCCTCTAGAATCCCTCATGTAAATTTTTCCCTGGGGATGGCCGAACACCCTGTATAGATTGAAACATAAAAATACCTGGGCAGTCGAGATTCGGAATTGTATGCCATTGACGCGAGGACGACAGCTGTTCAAGGCCAAGAAGGAAAGGCTCTTATTCACTTTCTTTATCGATTTTCCGAAGTTGCATGACGCACTGACCCCACGTAACATGTGGCTCGTAGGTTATGCCGGCTTTTCCCGCCACTCAGTTAAACGTTAAGGAAATTCGTCGTTACTAGTGATGGACATTCGTGGGAATTTTCCCTCGCGAAATTCCTTTCTGCGCATGCGTAAGCTGACGTCACAGCTACCTGTCGCCGCCACCATAGATGTATCTTTAGCGCACAAAGAGGTGCATGTAAGGGGCCTGTTGGAAATTCCAAAATTTTATTAGCGGACACTTCATTTAGTTTAATATTAACTTAAGAGGTAAGACCACTGTAAAAACCTGAAATAAGGCGTTTTCTTGCGATTTTTTGTTTTGGATGGATGAAAAAGTAAGTAAATAATAATATTCAAAAATGTTATTAACGTGTAAAAGAAAATATTTATTCAAAAATAGTAGCCAGAGAAATACATAGGGGATCTTCGATAAGTTAATTTTAATATTATTTATTGACAAATGATTGCCCCATGTTCTGTACAAAATTGAACTTTCTACTTCAAATGCTCGCCTTGAGTACTCTACTTAAATTTTGTTCCTTACTGGAATCCAACGATACCCTAAATTCTAGTTAAGTGTATACGGCAATGATCCAGTGCGCTTCAGTGCGCATGACCAAAATTCCCACGATGTCCATCACTGGTCGTTGCTAGTGTCGCGCAGTGTGGCCAGATCTGGCATAATTAAGTGCATCGACGTCGACATTAGTAACGATGAACTTCCTTAGCGTCTAACGGAGTGGTGGGGATAGCAGGCATATACTACCGCTCGAGCCACGCATGCGTGAGCTCGACACTTCGCGCAGCTTTGGGAAAACGATAAAGAACGCTAGCGTGAGCCTTTCCTTCTTGCTCTTGTAACAACTGAAATACGATCTCGCGATAATCGGCATACGATTCCAAGTCTCGACTATCCCAGCATTTTTACTTTCCGACCTATGCAAGGTGAAAGGAAAGTACCATAACGAAGAAAAATTTCGAAAACTTTTTTTAGCGAAAATACACGTTTTAATACCCGCGTTTAGAGATACGAGTCAAGAGGGTGCAGCTGTGTCCCTTCCTTGACTTGTTTAGACAAAGTATAGGACCGATTGGGTCTGAGGGTACGGGACGAATTCTTCGTCACTGACCTTTCTCATTCTGTATGTTTCTTTCAATGCGTAAAGACGTGCCTTCCAAGTGTTTCAAATAAAGCTTAGTAAAAGTTATATCATTTAAATTATTTTATTTATTCCACCACCTATTTCCAATAAGCACCCTGTCGATTTTTCTTACAAATTCGTTTTTCATTTTTAATAAATTTGGTTAGCACTAAACAGAAAAAGTTGTCTAATACTTTTTTGTAGATACCTATGAGCTCTACTTCAGAAAACAATTTCAATCAAATCCATTCACTATTGTAGGAGTTATGGCCGTTTGAAAATTGGACCATTTTTATCACTTTACGGGATTAAGGAACAACTTTTCCAATATTTTTAGAATTTCTACATATTCTTCGCCAAAATACGCGTTCTTTGCCGTTTGAAACATTAAAATCCCCCAATCCGTTTAGAAGTGACGACATTTTAAAGATTCGCATGAAATTTCGGGGGTGCATTTCTGGTCTCGCGTTAGATTTTCGGTCAGAAATTTTTTTCTCGAAAGTGCGTAGGTTTTCAGGGTTATGTTTATTTACCAAAAATGATTGTAACTGACCACCGCAACTAAAAATAATTTTATCAGAATGATTTAAAATTTTTTAATAACTTTATAACGGAGCCTCAATCAAAAAATTGATATTCTTGATTTTCGTATTATTTTGGCCTTTAGAATCTCACATTAAAATTTTTCCCAGGGGCGGCCGTACATCCTGTATAACATTTGATTCTGTGTAACAAATTGATACGGTTATTGAAAAACATAGCGGAAAAAGTCAGGATTAATCTATTTCTGTAGCAATTAATTCTCCTATTTAGATCGTAATTATAAAACTATAACACGTATAATCATCACTATCCGAGAGCTAATCACGCTCAAAATTTAATCAGACATTGAAACGGGAATATAAAACATAAATGTAAAGTTTCATTGAAATACATTCAGTCGTTTAGGCACAGAAAAAAAATTTCTTTTTTTTAACAGTCACAATATGATCAGTGGGTCTTAAAACGTGTATTTTCGCTAAAAAAAGTTTTCGAAATTTTTCTTCGTTATGGTACTTTCCTTTCACCTTGCATAGGTCGGAAAGTAAAAATGCTGGGACAGTCGAGACTTGGAATCGTATGCCGATTATCGCGAGATCGTATTTCGTTGTTACAAGAGCAAGAAGGAAAGGCTCACGCTAGCGTTCTTTATCGTTTTCCCGAAGCTGCGCGAAGTGTCGAGCTCACGCATGCGTGGCTCGAGCGGTAGTATATGCCTGCTATCCCCACCACTCCGTTAGACGCTAAGGAAGTTCATCGTTACTAATGTCGACGTCGATGCACTCAATTATGCCAGATCTGGCCACACTGGTGTCGCGTCGATCGGCCGATGCACTCAGTATACCAAATCTGGTCACGCTGACTATGACATTATGATAAGATTATGATAAGATTATGTCAATTATGATAAATATGACCACGCTGCAGGAAAGCAGTAATTTAATCTAATCTTATCATTGTTTTTCATGGGTTTCTACATATATTATTACGAAATAAATACGCAGTCTTAGATGTGCCGAAGAATAAGTGTAATTAAAGAAACACCAATTGTCTTCCAAAGTTATTTTCAAGAATTCATTAACACATTATCGTACTTTGTAATATTAAATAAACATGATATTCATAAAATTTCATTTGAGGGTTTTGGGTATTACTCGTAATAACAAATTCATTTCAAAGTGCATTATAAATAATTCAAAATTTCTGTGCTGTCAAAAGACATCAACCCCTTATGAAACCGAGACATGTCTTAGAAAACAATTGGAAGAAGTTTTTAAATTTAAAAACACTAATGTTAGTAATTGGATTATCGAGGTTGGTATCGTATTTACATAACAATATACTATTATTTCTTAATATAAATATGTAGTATAAAAATCATTTCTTTCGGTTAAGTTATTTTGCTTGTTGAATAAAAGTTTTTATGAATTGCGCAGTGTAATGTTACTTCTTTCAGAATAAAGCGCGTGCTTTGTGTATCGAATATTACAAAAGCCAGAAGATGGATAGACAGCAATTTTTACAATTATTAGCTGCCAAGTATGCTGTTCAACATGATGACATATGTAACATAGCAAAGAAGTTACTTTGTACAGAGGTTTGAATATCTTTTTATCATTTTAACTTCATTTTTAATTACATTTCTATTAATTCTCACAATAAAGAATATTTTTTAATTGTATTTATATTCATTTTAGTCTAACAATAAAAGACTGATAATTTCTTACGAACAAAAATTAAAAAGTATTCTTACGTCAGATTATCAGTGGCTATTTCTTATCATTGGAAGACTCGAAAGTGGTGTAAAATTTCTTGTCGATTTAAGAACAGATATTATGGTGAGTAGTGTAAAAGAATAAAAGTTTCTTTTACTAATACAATTAATTCAATTTAAAACTTGAATATTTCGTACGATTAAAAATTGAAGAAGTTTATTATATCTTTTATGTACAATAAACTCTTGATTATCCAACTCTCTGAAGTTTCTAAAACACGAATAAGGTATATCGTTCTCTTATTTCTATTCAAGCTTACACAAATGGGTTTCCAAATATTACAAACAAATCAATTGTTAATTTCGCGTACTTGGAAGAGATGTATAAATTCTGTTTTATTCATACTTTTGATAACAAGATATATTTTGTTATTTATTTTTTTATTAATATTTTTGCTAGGAGTTAATGGTAGAAACCAAAGAAACAGATGAAAATATTGTAATACAACAGTTAAATATGACGTTGCAAGATTTATTATTACTCTGGTTTTCAGTAGGTTTTCTGCATTTAGAGAGAATCACTTGGCAAAGTGCATGCGACATATTGCAAAAGGTACACGTTCGTTACAAATAATCAACGAGTAACAATGTTAATAACTATCTAAGTATGTTAAGATTTCAGATTACGAGGCAATACATCCTATAAAAAATTGGTTGGATTTAAAACAAAGAGTCGGACCATATAGGAGATGCTATGTTTTTACTCATCCATCTATGCCAAGAGAACCACTTGTCGTGTTACATACAGCATTATGTGACATAATACCAGGTACGAAATTATATTGAAAACTAATATTCCATGGACAACAGAAATTATATCAACATATTATGAATTTAAAGACAGTGTAAAAGGTATTGAAGATGCAAAGACCAGAATCCTTGGTGATAAAAGAAAAGAAATAACATTCCAGGAAGAAGACAAATCTAAAATAAAAGCAGCAATATTTTACTCGATAACTTCTACGCAAAAGGGATTAAAAGTAAATTAACTGTATAAATATCATATAATTTTATTAAGAATGCTTTTGTAAGACGTTCGTGATGAAAAATACATTTTTCCCTTCTTTTACAGGGTATCGAACTCGGCAATTATCTAATAAAAGAAGTAGCAAACAAAGTAATATCTGAATTTCCTATGATACGTGAATTATCTACTTTATCGCCAATACCCAATTTTAGAAGTTGGCTTCTTGAAAAATTAAAACAAGGTAATGTATACTTATTTGTATAAAATAAGAAAGAATATATTTTTGAATTGAAACGGTTTTTTCTAGACGTAAATTATATTTTTACGGCTGACGAATGTAAATCCATGCAGAATATTTTGAAAGAAGAAAATGTAGCGCTCGGTTTAAAAAAAATATTTAATAATTCATTGTGGACCAATGAAAAAGAATTATGTGAAATGTTAAGAGAGCCATTGATTCGAGTATGTGCATGGTATTTATATAAGGAAAAAAGACGGAATTATGCTTTGAATAACGTTGGTGCGTTAATTACATGAACATTTTTTAAATTGTCATATTTAAACATAAATGTCAATGTTAATATTTTTTTCTTTCCTATAGCGAATTTTCATCTTCGTAATGGAGCAGTTATGTGGAGAATAAATTGGTTGGCCGATCCTTCACCGCGTGGTGTCGCTAATAGCTGCGGAATTATGATAAACTATAGGTAACGTTCTCATTGATTGAAATAAGTATAAAGTAATTTAATACACTCGATGATTGCGAATCTAATTTTTTTTTTTATTACCAGATACTACTTACACGAAAGTGAAAAAAATAGTCAAAATTATATTGAGAATTATTTCATAAATGCATCTGAAGATATAATTAATATTGCTATGCGTCAAAACGAATTGAGGAGTAAAATGTAAAATAGTAAGGAAAAACTGTTTTTCTCAGGTAAATATATGTACGTTAAAATCATACAATATAGGAAAGGTTATTTTAAATAGCTCTATAGTTATCAATTTGAAATGGAATTGAACCACATGCATTATTTATAATTTTAATTTGTTACATCATGACAAAAATACCAAACTCTAACAGAATAAAACGAACAAACAACTTATCTATGTGATGTATTGTCTATACTGTATTTGACAAATAAATTGAAATTAAGTTACTGAAATTTTACAAAAAAAAAAAAAAAAATAATAAATAAAGTTAGTTATCTAAAAAAAAATATTTCTCTAAAAGTTTGCTAAGTAAAAAATGATCGCACAAGTAGACAAAATTCACAGAACCATTAAATTTTGAGTCATCTAATTCTGAAAATTTCATTTACTTTTATAATTTGTATTATACTTATTATGTACATCACTATATTTATTACTAATATCATCAGAAAGTGTTTCATTTCTCATATAAGGATCTAGACATTTCGAATCTACGATATCATATATCAAAACCATTTACACAAATGCTGTTGCATATTAGTGTCATGTACATTAGGTGGTACAAAACTTATTATAACGCCACATGTGCACTAGTTCCGTTAACGAACGAGTGAGCCTTATTCAGACTCCACATATGTGCAAAGTAGACACACAATGTTGCGAAGTACGTAATGGAAAACCAATTCACCAAGATTTTAGTTTAGTCTCTGCATCTGTTATTTTTTAACAAGAGAAATGGGCTGCGACCTCTTTTAAGGTTACTAAGGTCAACGTTTACTACCGGAAAACAGAGAATTTCCTATTTATAATAGTTGTAAAAAATAAAGTACATTTTATTAGGTTCTTGTTCTTTGACTAGACTTCTTTGTCATTTTTTAATTAGTGCTTTCTTCCTAGCATTATTTACAAGCTTTCCAGGAAACTGTATTGTGTCATAATTACTTTTGTTTGCTTCTTTATTAAGATTAGACTTTACGTGTAAAACTAAGAAGGATACAGAAAAAATATCATAATATGGAAAACAAATATCATAGTATTAAATATGGAAAAAAGTACAGTGACATAAACAATAGATACCAAAAGAAATATCAGAAGTAATATCAGTGAGTTGGCTGTGGGAGGCGATGGAGAGGAGAGGGGTGAGGGAAGGGTTGAGGGAGAGGGTAAGGGAAATTTATAGGGAGACGAAGAGCAGGGTGAAGGTGGGGGGGGAGGTAGGGGAGGGTTTTTGGACGGCGAAGGGGTTGAGGCAAGGGTGCCCCCTGAGTCCGACGCTCTTCAATTTGTTAATAGCGGATGTGGAAGAGGAGATGAGGAAAGGAAGATGGGGAGGGGTAGAGGTAGGGGGGAGGAGAGTGTGTGCGCTGGCGTATGCGGATGACCTGGTGATGGTGGCGAAGGACGAGGAAGAGATGGGGAGTATGATTAGGCGGCTCGAAGGGTACCTGGATAGAAAGAGGTTGGAGGTTAATGTGGAGAAAACGAAGGTGGTAAGGTTTAGGAAGGGGGGTGGAAGGGAGAGGAAGGTGGAGTGGAGGTGGAAGGGGAAAAGGATAGAGGAGGTGAAGGAGTTTAAGTACCTGGGGTACGTGTTCAGGAGGAACGGGGGTCAGGAGGCGCAGGTTAGGGATAGGGTGAGAAAGGCGGGGGTGGTAATGAGGCAGGCATGGGGAATCGGGAAAAGGAAGTTTGAGAGGGACTGGGGAAGGAGGATGTGGCTGTTCGACACGGTGGTCTGGACGGTGGCGGGATATGGGGCAGAGATTTGGGGGTGGAGGGAGAGGGAAGAGATGGAGAGGATGCAAGAGAGGTATATAAGGTGGTCATTGGGGGTGGACTGGAGGACGCCAGGATATATGGTAAGGGAGGAGACGAAGAGGAAAAAGTTGAGGACGTGGGCGGGGGGAAGGGCAGGGAGATATGAGGAGAAACTGAGTAGGGGAGAGGGAGGGGAGTTGGCTAGGTGGTGCCTGGAAGAGATAAGGGAAAGGGAAAGGGAAGGGGGAGAGGAATTGTCGGCGTGGGAGAGAGACAGGTTGGGGTGTAGAGGGTTGGGAGGATTGAGGGGAGGAGAGGGAGGGGCAAGTGGGCGAGCGGGCTGGGAGGGATGGGAGGAGGAAGATGGGAGGAGGCAGGAAGAGGAGAGATGGGGAAAAGTGGTGCAGTCGAGGTATAATAGGTGGTACAGGGAGTTGGTGGGACGGGAGTTACCGGGGTACCTGAAGGCAGGGTGGGGAGAAGTGAGGTATGGAAGGCTAGCTAGGTATAGGATGGGGAACGAGATGAGGGGGGGGAGGTACTGGGGGGATGAGGAAGAGAGGAGATGTAGGGTATGTGGATGGGAGGAGGAGACATGGGAGCACGTTTTGGAGAGATGTACGGGGGATGAGGCAGAGGGGAAGGGGATCGGGGAAAGGATAAGGGAGATTTTGGACGAGGGAGGGGGAGGGGAGGGGTGGATAAAGAGGCTGGAGGTCAGGAGGAAAGAGAAAGAGGTGGAGAGGGGGGAAGGGGGGGATGAGTGAATGAAGGAATGGAATGCAAGGGCGGAAATGGAAGTCGACGGCGGGGAGGGCGAGCGGGGGTGGAGGAGTGGGAGAGAAGGGAGGAGGGAGAGAGGGAGAGAGCGAGTAGCGTAAGGTTAGGCTAAGAGCGTGCGGCGAAGGGAAATGAGAGAGAGAGAGAGAGAGAGCGAGTAGCGTAGGATTAGGATAAGAGCGTGCGGCGAAAGGAAATGAGAGAGAGGGGAAAAGCGGCGGAGGGAGGATGTAAGGGCAGTGAGGAGTAGAGTAAGAGTAGAATAAGTAGGATAAGTAGGATAAGTTAGGTTAAGGGAGAGATGGAAATGTAAGGTGGGGAGGAAGTGTAACCCTAAGGGGAAGCAGGAAATAAATCTATCTATCTATATCAGTGAGTTGGTAAGATTGTTTGGTAAATATGAGTTCAAACAGACCTTATTTGGACTATTTTTAATTGCATATAGTTGAGAGTTTTTCAGAAATAATTCAATAAACGCATAACCAAAAATAGCCTGAATAAAGTTACATTTTAACCTCATTTCAATTCAAAAAGACCTCAACCCATTTATAATACTTTCACAAAAATGCAATGAAAAGCGTAAGTTTTTAATTTGCATTAGTGAATGTCCACCGCTTTGAAGCGTAACCTTCTAAGTTTTATTTACACAGTTGCTGGCTGCTCGAATCAACAAGTTTTTCACGTCGAAGAAAAATATTGTAGTGGAAATAAGTCTGTGTATGTATCGAGAGTAAATTTTTGCATTTAATTGGAAAAATAGCATTACACTTAACCTAACAGTTAAAAGGTATCGTATTTGTATTGCCTTTGAGTCGTCTTGTTATTAAAAAATTTCATCGGTTTCTATAAAATTCATTTGCACTGTACTTCTTTATTTTTATATTAATTTACGCATCCTAATAGAACATTATATACTATAGTTGCATTTTTCTTGTTCAATAATAACGAATGCAAACACGAACCAAAATCTTGGTATATCAGTTACCAATTACCTATTTGGAGTATTAGTTCCTGATCACCTATTTGATAACAACACAAGCGTCTGTTATAACAATCGGTACTCTGTAGTAGCCAACGAGAAATAGTCTATTATGCATCTGTTTAAATGAGGCTCACTTTACTGGGAATGCTTATGCATATACATTATGACAAGTTTTATACTCTTCACAATATGATTTTATCAGGCTCATTCCCGTTTCTAACTATGAGCAGTTAATTAAAGAACTTCGTTTCTGTTACTCTTCAAATTTTATGTTTTTATTAAAGATTATTAAATTTGTTCATTTATACAATAGCTGTTTCTTGTTCAGCTTAAAGGCAGCACAATAGTCTGCAAGTAGATCTGCAACAAATACCGATTTTGCACTATTATTGTACAAATATTTGTACTCTTTTTTTTTTTTTATGTACACTTATAATATGAATAATATATAAAATAATTATATTCTTTTAGGTACCTGTAGTCAAGGCTGGGTTTGGTGAAAGTTTGTGGGAAGATGAGGTCTACTTTCTAGTTTTGTATAATCCAAATGAAATTCCTTTGCTACTTTTCTCCAACTTTGCGCATCAAAATAATAATAAGTACCACGTTCATATGTTGAAGTTTTTTCTACAAGCCCTAATCCTGGTGCTTGCGTTATCCATACCTTTTCTTCCATATGATATCGCCACTCCCTACTGTACCTTTATAATCAAAAGAATACTTATAAAATTAATTTCTTTAACAACTATTATAATATTCAAATTGAATCAATACTTACAACTCCGCTGCCGCTGCTAATTGCAGCATATCCCCAACATTTGTATAAAACATATAAAATAGTAGATCATCCTTGTACCGATTTAACTTAACCGGCGCTAATTTATCTCTAGAACAAAAATAATGTACAACACAAATTTAATTATCATAACAATACCTGTTATACCGTCGATGAAATAATTTTTATAATACAAAGAAGAAGATACCTGATAGCGGCATTAATGAGATATTCCGGTGGCACGTGAAAATCAATATCTTGAGGTCGACACGGTGTTTCAGCCCAAGGCCCACCAAAATTTTGATAAAGATTTTCTGGCGAATTAAGATTTAATCCTAACGCTGTTAAGTCTTGGCCTAATGCCAAAGATACTAAATTAGGATCTGTTTCTGCTGCCCTAATAAACGTTAAAAGTCCAACCATTCCAAACTGATCCTTAACCATACTTGCTGGTATATTAGTTACTTTACCTATAAAATGTAACGATAGAATTTATGTACAATAAAAAGTGAACGTTACATTTACGTTTGTTGTATATTTTTCAAAACAGCATATGATATTACGAAACAGTACTATGAAACAATCTATATTTATCTGGTTACTGAAATAGTTTCAATACCATCAGGAGATGTTTGTATGCCTCTTTTAGATGATTGAGACTTTTCAGATCCAGGTGCTCTATTCGCCTGCAGGACGTCTTGCCCAATTTCAGGGCCAAGTCCGACAGGTATGCTCTTATCACCAGATATGCTTCCACCTGGTGATGGTCCTTCTCTATTTTGTGTTCCTGGTAATGCTGGGAAATCTTCAGAACTCATAGTAAACTCGCTTGATTCGGACGTCGGTTGTTTTACCATTCCAACTATAATATATATGTAAAAATCAATTAGTTACGTATTTCAATTTCCATTTCAGATTTGACTCCCTGCTTATGACATAAATATAAAGATTTTGACCATATATTTTCTTTAGTGCTGAAATTACTGCTAATACGAACCATAAGGTTGTTTTCCTGGCATAGGACTAGGTTGCGGCATAGAATCACCCTGTCCTCTGTTTGTTAATGAAGGAAACTCGGACAGATCCAACAATGGAGGAGTACTTGTATCTCCACCTCCTCCACTGCCGAAAACAGAGTGAAAATTATTAATTTGTCCCTGAGATCCGTAATTACGACTTTGCGGTATTCCAAAAGTGCCCATGCTACCCATTGGATTTGAGGTTCTATAAATGTGTATGAACTTTTCATTTTTTCATATGAAATATCACCATACAACAGGCATGTAACAAAATATACTCTATTATCACAAGTCATATTATAACAAATGCACAAAAGATTGTTACAGCTACCCAGAGTGAAAACACTAACCCAAGAGCAGGCATCGTACGTCTATCTGTGAAAGCTCTCTGCCCAAACAGTCCCCTGCTGCCCATAGGAGAGAGCTGTTGCTGCTGAGGTTGATGATTAGCTTGTCCACCACCTGCACCCGATGCTCCGGGGTAAACGTTAGTAATTACTACCGCAGAATTAGCCGAACTTGACGTGCTTGTAGATGAGCCTGAGAACATGCCCGAGGTAGGTGTAACATGGCCCGTCAGGGTCGATGAATTTAAACCCCCACCACCACCCGCACGTGATGTAAGACTTGCGTTCGCAATACTGCGTGGCGGTTGCTCAAAGTTCAGGTTGGCCATAGCCTGGTGGCTCCACTACAAAGTACCTGCTGGGGCACACCAACACACTTTTATGCCTATTACCACAATCACTTGTTTTCTATTGTGTCACTTGTAAGTCGTTCAATTTCATGGAAGCAAGGATAATCCATGACAGTAACTCCTGGCAGCAACCTGTAATTATGAAGCAAAAACAAACACTTTAACATGAATAATATGTTACTTATTGTTACTTAAACCTTGTTTGTTTTTTCTTTATTAATATCAACTGTACTTGTTTAACTTTTACCTCTCTATCACAGTACCACAGCGACGATCATATCAAACTTGAAGACAAGGAATTAAGATGGATCTATCAACAAGCGAAGAATTCGTTTTCATAAAAATGTTATTTGAGTATAAATTTAAAAAATATATGTGACCAATTGTGATACAGAAGACATCTATTTATTTATTTCTCAATTCACATATATAAGTAAATGTATATGTTACATTATGTTGTTTTGTAGAAAAAACTAATACAACTTTAACTCTTTCTCTCACTTCTGTGTTTTATAAATCAATTATTTAATACACAAAAACTGGTTTTTATAAAAATTTGTTTGTATAAACGCTACATACTTATAAAAATCTAAGAAAATACACATGCTTATAATAACTTTAAATATTTATATCGCACAATATTTGTTAATCTCTAATGTTCAGAACTTACGGTTACTAACATATATATATTTTATAAATACTTATAAACTAACCTGAATTTTATTCTGGAATATTTTCATATTTCTATATAAACTCATAGTCATGGAAATCATAATGATATCAAACTAGTTCTAATAGCAACAGCTTGTTAATATAATCACTGTTTAAAGTAATAATATATTAATATAACAAAAATGGTTAATCAAAGACTGTTTCTTGTTATTTTTATTAATGTTTTAACATTACGATCATTTTTACAGTACAGAAAGAAACATACAATTTTTGAAAATGCATTGAACCAACAGTCAGTGATTTTGACATTGTAATGATCAAAATCAGTAACAAGCACAAAGAAAGCAAAGGTTATAATATGTACACATATAAACAAAATATTGAAGGAAAAATGAATAAAATTTGATTACCTATGTTATTGAATCCGTCGTTAAGTTACTGCACAAAAGAATCCATTAAATTCATAATAAACAAAGTAAATGGGCCTAAAAGAAAACACAAAAACGTCGATGTTGACTTCGAATTAAATATAATAAGAAAAAGTTAATCCAGGTAATTAGTATTTCGTATAGAAAAGATTTTTACATAAAACGTCCTAAAAGGCTAAACTTTTATGCACATTAAAATACTTTTAACAAATAGACTTCTGTTTTGTCATTCAGTTTGACAAACTTAAACAACACTAGAGACACGAATTTCTTCCATTTTAACCATTTCTACGATGTACTCAAATTAGATACTGAAATACACTAAACTATAGTGTTAATAGATTACACATTGAAATTAGTATTAATAATGGTTAAAAATATTAATTAGGTAATTATACCATTAAAATTACCCATGACATTCTGGAGCATTTCTTAATAGATGGGCAAAATTTAATCTTGAATATGACTGTTGAATTCGTTGATCATTATCTCTATATTCAATATTATAATTTAATAACAATTGTAATGTTTGACATAATGGTATCGATTTATTAACATTAAATTATTCATCTTTAAATTTAAACTATTTTTACTTTAAAAGTATTTGCTAGAATGGAATGTATAGATACAATTTATGAAAATTTCGAACTGTAACACAATCCAATCCAATGCACAAAACCATAGGGATTATATATATTTATCATATCTTAAATAAATTTTCGATCAAATGAATAAATACATGTATAAAATTTTTGCATATAATATTTCACATTTTATCTTATATTTATATTGTATGATAACAAAATAGATTCCTATAATAATTTAATCTTACTCACTACAACATGAGAATAGAAATTGATTTTATGCATTTTTAAATGAAAAATGAATTTAACTTTAAATTTTTCTATGGTTATTATTGTCGTTTCTTTGATTTGAAAGATGTATTGTACAAAACTATGATAAACATTTTTTGTTTCACTGTCATAATAGATTGGAAATATTAATTATTACAATACGGACAAATGCATTACCACCAATTTTATATAAATATTTATTATTTTAGATTGTGTACATTATTTTTATTAAAATTAATTATAAATATTTCTTTGTTATTCTACCACAATTATAGAAAAAAATTTGTATCATAATTCATATTGTCAATTCATTTACATAAAGTCGAGAATTATTATGTTAAAATGTATTTTTAAATTTTCACTGAAAGTATAAAACGATATATATCTACGTGCATCTTTCTGCGTGTTTGATTAATTAAATTAACTATTAAGTTATATCAAAATCTTTCGTAGGATTTGAAATTAGAAATTATATAATTTTCTTAAACGTTTGTTTGTTTTTTTATTTATCTATCCATAAAAATTATCGCGAGGGTTTAATACACATCCAGGCATATCGTTCGACGTTATTACGAGTGCATGGTTCGTGGTTAAATATAAAGTTTTGTGATAGAATTTTATAAACATTTTGTATTTAAATAGGGTATAATAACAAACCTCTATGTAAGTCATTTATAAGATTATCAATAAACCAAAAACTAGTTTGCTATAAGAAGTGAGTGAAAGAAGTAAGAATTAGTATAATATAGTGAAAAATGGCATTAATTAGAAGAGCAACCCATGCTGGTAGTTGGTACGCAGGCTCTGGTAAGTAATATTTAAAACATATTTTCAATTCGTTTAATATTTTAATGTTGTTTATTTATATTATAATCATGGTTATTTGTCACTTTTTCTCCGTTTCCGACGAAGTTACTAATTCATACGTGCTAGTGCTCGCACATATTAATGGATAACCATAATTCGATACAAGAGATTAAAAGTTTAACAGTTAAACTATGTATTTCTTGTATAATCATGTACTGTCTTATAGTTATTTAGCGTTAATTTTTTATATTATTATTTTATATTGACATTTAGCACTGATAATTTCTTTTGTTACATGTCACTGTTTCATTGATTTTACACTTTATCCGATTGTTTTATAAAATTTCATAAGATTTTCATGTTCTGATAACATTGTGAAGAATTTATTATTTATTTTATTTCGTGGTTTGCATTTATATATCATTATTTAGTTTTTTAGTGTTAGGTGTTTCAAATTTTCACACGAAAGTTAGCACATTACGTGTGTATATCTATATTTTTGCATAATTTTTAATGCTATACAATCTTTTTTGTACGATTCTGAGAACTTAAGATTCTATAAATAGCTTTATCGATCTATTTGTCAATATTTTGTTCACAGTTTCAATTATCAACATAATTATGTATGTTTCATAATAAATATTTTTAATATTTTGTACAGGTTCGGAGCTGAATAAGCAATTAGAAGGTTGGTTGGGTGCGGCAGACTTATCGCATGGACCTGCCAGGGCAATTATTGCCCCGTCAGTAATTATAGTAAATTAAATAATTTTTCATTCGATTAACAAATCCTTATTGAAACAGAAACAAAATTTCACAGACATGCAGGTTACAGCTATTGCGGGGCATGTGCTGGCTTTGCATACCGCCAGATTAGTCCAGTTGTTGTGTAAGTTTAAAACTTAAATATCAATTAATTATTTTACTCTATTATTTTAATGAAATATATTTAACGATGTAAAGTAATGTTTGTTTTATTTAAATTAAATAATTGTATGTATATATTATATATATAGATACATATTATATGTATATAAAATAATAAAACTTTTATCTTCTACTTTTAATTTTTATTTAAATATTACTTAATTCCATTTGATGTGTCTTGCATAAAGCATGCTTAATTACGTAAAAGGTTAAACATGACATTTATATATTAAGTTTACAGTGAGTTACATATAATGTAATGCCTACATAACTATATAAATAATGGAACTTTTTGCCAATAAGCCTTTTAATACTTTTTTTCTTATTATTGTCTTATAAGTCTCCATTATTTTTTGCTATTATTCTTGTTTTAAAATTGTTAAGGCATACAAACTTTGAATCAGGTTCTAATACCACAGTAACGAATGAAAAGAAGCAGTTGTGTTTGCAGTTGGCTACAGTAAGAAACAAATTAAATTAGCTGCTTCGTTTGAGTTGGTAAAAAGCATTGTATCGAGGATCGTTGCCAACTACTAGAAACTGGAAAATATTGATGTGTTGCAGAAATTGGAAAGACCATGAAAAAGTGCCACATATCGACCAATTGACGAAACATCTTTCCAATGCTGACCCAGTATTTACGGTATTGCAAATTTTTTCAAAAGTTTATAAAATATGCGAGTCTCTGACTTTAAAAAAGCATGAGGTAAATGATTTAAACTGGGCTTGAGAATGTAATCAATTGTCAAATATGATTTGGTAAAGCTATTGTGGTACAGTGAAACCTAAATCTAGTATAAATCTAGTATCAATGTACTAAATTACTACTGACAAGTACAGTAGTGATTCTGTGATAATATAAGGTTGTTTTAGTATCAATCAGATTGGTCTGTCAGTCTGTATAAATGATTAAATAAAGCCATATATGCTACTATTATAGAGAATAGATATTCCAACAAGACAATGAGTAAAAGTATAAGTCTGCATACACCATCAATTGGATTAGGAAAAATAAGGTGTGTGTCATGTTGTCATAAAATTTCATAGCTAAATCTCATTTAATATTCGTGAGAAACTTGGAAGGAACATAGCGCAACATAGAAGAAGTGTAGAAGGAAATGCAAACAAAAATTTTACAATATTATAGCACAAATGAAACAATATTATACAATCCACTATCAATCCACTATCTAATCTTGTATAGAGATCATCAAAAGAAAGTGTCTTATAATGCAATATTAGTATTTCTTATTAGAAGTTTCATTATTTGTGTTGCATAAAGCTCACTCTTACTCATATATAATTCACTGTAAACTTATAATACTAAAATTATTTTGTTCTTAAAATAGGCACATTTAAGCATGATTTAAAGTACGTTAAACAGAATTAATAAATATTGCCTTTTAAAAAAATTACAAATGATTTATTGATTCAAGGTCTTAATCAGCAAGAGATAAAATAGTAATATATCTATGTACATTAAAATAATTTGTTTAAATAAAATCTTAAACGAATGATATATTATTATATAGGCGCAGGATATTTATTCTGGGCCCTTCGCATCACGTAAGATTATCAGGCTGTGCTCTTTCTTCCGCTTCGATTTATCAAACGCCGCTGTATGATCTACATATTGATCAGCAAGGTACAAATTGCTTAACACAAATTATTAAACCGAAATCTTAATGAAATCTTCGTAGCATTTAAAATGTAACTTAAAAAGGGAAGGACCAGAGATGTCTGACTTTAATATTAACGTACTTGTGCAAAATTGTATCTAATCATTATAATCATTCTAGCAATACAAGCAATTAAAGTTATATATGGTATAAGCTTGCAATATACGTTATAAATATAAACCTCTGTTTTCGAAATTAACACATTAATACATGTGTTTTTCTAATTAATTTCGTTTTTTATATGTTAAAGTACATTTGATATAATTTAAAATAAATTCTATTCCAGAAAGTATTTTGTAACACGAATAAAATTATTTTGTATTTGATTGATTGCACCACAGCAATTTTAACGAGAGAGATCATATTACAACTATCATTTTATAAGTAGTAACAAAGATTTGTATATTAATATTCCGTAGAAGCATGTCAAAATTGAAGTTTTGCATTTCTGATCTTTTCCTTATTAATACGTTGATTGCCACAGGGCTGTTAAACGAAATGATTCCCGACGCCACTCTTCGCACCGGCTGCGAAATGACTTGTTATTTATCTAATTGTTATTATAAATAAATATTCAGTTCTCTAATGTATACTGATCGTTATTCTTCTTTTAAATGTCCATTATCCATTATTTACTCGTAGGTGGCATCCGGTGACAGATCGTCAGCTATGAGTTAATTCGTACTTGGCAGTCAACGTGTTAATCAAAATATGAATTACTATCAAAGATTAGTTCAAATATAGGTTTCTGTTCATGTGATAGTATGCAGAGAACTCGAAGAGACTAGGCATTTTGAATGGATGGATTTAAACACAGATGAAGAAGAACACAGCATTGAAATGCAATTACCATTTATAGCAAAAGTTATGGAAGGGTACGATAATCACATTCGTTATGTTACAATCATGTAATATACATTGCGCATGAAAGTCTTTCTAACACAATTTATGCATAGTAAACTTGTATTTTATATCGATGCAGATTCAAAGATTCTTTTACTATTATTCCTATACTGGTTGGATCGTTAAGTCCAGAAAGGGAGGCACTTTATGGAAGATTATTAACTCCGTACATAGCTGATCCACAAACATTATTTGTTACTTCCTCGGATTTTTGTCATTGGGGTCAACGTTTTCGTTATACTTATTACGATAGATCATGTGGTCCTATTCACAGATCTATTCAGAACCTTGACAAAATGGTATGCGAAGTATAATTACATAGTTTATAATATTTACATTATATGACATATAAACAGAAAAATAAATTCATTTTAAATCTTTATACATTTAAGAAACCATTGTTTAAATGAAACTTATTTATGTTAGCATTTTATATAATTCTAATTAAAAATTAAAGTTTATGTTTCTATAATTTTGCATGCACGAGTATTGTATATTACCATTGTATTTTATAACTCATCATTATGTGTTTATAAATTTGTGCAGGGCATGGACATCATAGAAACTTTAAATCCCACAGTGTTTACTGATTACCTTAAAAAATATGGTAATACTATATGTGGCCGACATCCTATCAGTGTTCTATTACAGGTAATAATTCTCATTCATTCGAATCAATTATTTCTCTGACAAATATGATTTTTCAGTTGCAATCAAGTTTTATCATTAAATTATGTATGTTAACAGGCAATTCATAATTTAAAAGGGAATACCAATGGCCAAAGAATGAACTTGAAATTTCTTAAATATGCTCAAAGTAATCAATGCAATAACATGAATGACAGTTCTGTTAGTTATGCTAGTGCTTCCTTGGTTCTCGAGTGATAAATTATACATCCTCGATATCGTTATTGTAAGTAAAAAAATTTATACAAGAAGAGAAAGTACTAAAAAAAAACGACAGTAATGACCCATTAATCATGAAACACACGAATCAAGATTTTCTCAAATGTCTTTATTATGTGTACAAAAACTAATACGAAAATCGAGTATCAATTTACTCTCTTGTGTGAGATTTTCTTAGTTATCTGAGAAAAAGAATACACAAATTTTTTAAAAATAAAAATCATAGATAGAAATATATATTATCATAAAATTGATTTCTTTAAAGGTATTTCGGTTTATTACTTACAAGAAATAATCAGTACTTCCAGATTTTACTTGTGGAAGGAGCTTAAGTATTTCTTTGCTTTGACTAGTACCACTGTTATGCGAATAATAATAGCATAAAGTAAGTTTTTACTAATCATTCATTCTAAGAAGGCAGAAAATTCAGCCTACTGATGAAGAAGAGATTATTAATAAATTAATATTTTACGACATTATTACATTAATATAAATAATAGTGGAAAATAAAAGAAAAACATTTATTATTAATATTATTGATTCAAATTTGTCAGTGCAGTAAGTTTAGAAAATAATAAGAGTCATATTATTTTCTATGGAACGTTGAGTCACGAGGATATTCATAAATTATAAGTCAACATAAGTATGATAGTATCCATTGTGTAGATTTATTGATTGTGATTTGAAGAGATACTGTTAATATAAAGTTATTTATTGTATAAAATCATTTAAAGCTGTTTTAGTTTAGTATCTTTTAATACTTACTTCCAATTAATAAAATTAATAAATAGAAAATACATTTTATTTTTTCATTATTCATCTCAGGGACACGTGTACATTGAATGCTAAAGAAGTAAGTTTAACACATATCTCTTCTATGTCGTTAGTATGAATGGTCTGCATTAATGAACATTATACAGAATATCATTACAGTAATAATAGGGTATAACTTAAGTATTCTTTTTTTCCTTTAAAACAAAGCAATGAAATGATCTCAAATCCTTCCTAACCTATAATCTCTTGTTATTTCTCGTTAGTGTAAGAAACTAAACTGAACGATACAAACATTGTATTGTCCCAATGTTATGGTGTAAGTTTGAAGGAGGATCAGTAGAGAAAAATGTGTGTAAAATATTTTAAACTAATATGCCCTTATTCTTTACAAATTATGAATATTTATGTTGTAATAAAGCATTTTTATAATAAATTTTATGTGTACTTTATGAAACTTGTTTTGTAATAAAGTGAACTAACATATTTAATATGCTGCTTTATTTATAAATTATATGGAATTATAAAACTGATCCTTCAAGTGTTGCTTTTTCTATCTTCGTATACTAAGCTTGTAAGGTTTACATTTGTATGGAGAGTATAAAATAAATCATATACTGATATTATTTCATAGTCGTGTACTATGTAACAAAAGTATATGTAAATTTGTATGCATCTTCGGGAAATTAAATGCTTGAAAAATATATTTAAAGTCTTAATTTTAATCAAAGCACCTCCAGACATTAAAAACGAGTTCCATAAATATTACTTTGTATAACTATAAATTTCTTAAAAATATTTTATTTATATAACTATGAACTTCATATAACTATACATTTCTTAAAAATATTTACGTTTACTTGCTATAAAGAAAATTAATATAGTAAAATCAAATATACATATATATATCACCTTTAAAAATGCAGTCTTGAGCATTCGCTTACTCGTATCTAATTAAGGTATTACATTTATGTGTACATCATATTGCTGATCCAGTCCCATATAACAATCGGACATCAAATAAAATGTTAATGTCATTTGACCTTTAAATAAAAAAAAGATTTAGTTATTTTTACTAAAGAAAAGAATTTGTATTTTATAGTTAAAAAAAGAAAAAAATTATTTCATATTGAAACATAAACATATACATATGAAATTACCTAATTTTGATGGTGCTGTAAATTGCAATTGATGATGTTTCCGTTGATGATTTATGCCACTGACACGTTTTAAAGCCCATAACTCTTTTTCAAAAATGCTACCTAAAACTAAAAACCAACATTCATCCTTTCCTTTTTGGAACATGGGACAATGTGCTTTCAAATTATTGGATTTATTTTTTCTTCTCATGCCAATGCTTAATGTATAGTCTTTATCTTTATGTATATCTATAGTAGTTATAGGTTTGTTGGATTGCAATGATATAGGCTTTTGTTTAGTTCCATCGGACCAATAACCTTCCAAACTTAAATCAATGCAGAGTATTGGCATTTCTCGGATTACTTGATGTATCTGTTAAATCATCGTCAAAGTTATTATAAGACTTATTGTTCTGAATTTGTAATTAACTAATAATTATCAAACATATTTTAAATAATCTTATCATGGAATATAGTGATAAAACTTAAGTTCTTTTCAGATTTTTGTGTCTGAAACAAAGCAAATAATCTATAGTATGAAAATCCGTCATATTTACCTGATGTATTTCATTTTCTTGAAACTCTTTTTCAAGTGCTGCTAAAAGTAAATTATATTTATCGTGCATTCTAGCACATAATACTGGAAGTACTGTTGATATAGATGAAAATAACTGCAAATGTTCTGAGTGTACATGAGGCAATGTAGTAATGGCAAATTCATCTATCCATCGAGCTTGAATGATCATTTGAAGTAACTGAATTATCATAAGCGCACTTTCTAACCATCCGTGTTCTGCAACACTATCTATCATTGCCTGTAAATAATTGGACATTATAATGTTGACTTAAGGCTTACATTGCAATAATTACAGATATAAAATATATATGTTACATGATTATACATACTTGAATAATTCTAATTGCTTGATCAAGAACCGACTTTAAGTCAGTAATATAATCTGTACATGGCATCGGAAGTCTTGAAAAATATGCTTGAAGTAATAGAAATGCTTTGGTATTTGGAGAATCATACGTATAGTTATCTACTGGGTAACGGCACATTTTGCTTAATTCCCTGTTAAATAATTACACATATTAAAACTCAGACTTAAAAATCTTTTGTTTTTTCTTAAGTAAAAAGTTAAAACTTTAACTTACTCATTTAATAAATCTTCATTATGTCTGACTGGCAATTCATTGTATTCATAAGAATTGCATAAAATACGTAGACATTCGTTCAGTGTAAGAGACTCTTTTAATGATTGCTCGAACATCAACATAGTAAGATGCGACAAATAATAAAATGATGCTATTTTACCCATTGAAACTGGTATTAATATTTGTTCGCTCTAGAATTAATAATAAAAGTGTAATTATTAATGTTATAACTTTGCAAGTAATTATTAATTTAAATATAACATAGGTAATATTTTGTAATAATAAATCAACATAAATGTAATACTGTATACCTCATCAAATTCAATACAGTGCGAATCCATTAACATCTTTATTGTACTATCCAGCAAAGATGATAAATACTGATTAATTGTTTGAGGTTCCAAAGTGTTTAAATTATAATATACAGGGTTTTTTAGTAATCTTCTGAAGAAATAGGTCCACGTTAAATAATCTAAAAATTCTTGTTTAGTTTTAATTGTACCAGCAACTATTTCTGCATTTATGTGGTCTGGCAACACTCCCAATAAACTCGATTCTACTGGGAATGGTTGATGCAGAAAGTTCTTGTAAAAGTTCTTTTTCAAATCGTGTACTAAAACAACTGCCACTCCGGAATCATCGAACTGAGGTCTACCCGCACGACCCATCATTTGAAGTACATCTGTAATTGGCATGTCCACGTAATGTTTTGTTTTACCATCGTAATATTCTGTGCCTTTTATCACTACCAAATGGGCAGGAAAATTCACACCCCAAGCCAAAGTAGCTGTAGTAATTAACACCTAAATAATAGTTTTATAAAATACACAGTATTCGAATATTCTCAACTTTGTTGAAAAATATAGATGTTTCACAATGAACTTTCACAATGAAATAAAGAGATAATTGACTAATACCTGAATTTTATTATTAACGAATAATTCTTCAACAGTTTTTCTGTCTTTATCTTGAAGACCAGCATGGTGAATACCAATTCCAAAAGCAAGTGTGAGTTTCAAGTTTGAATCTCGTACATGATTTAAAATATTGTTCATTTCTTCATCGAGCATGTGTAGCCATTGTTTCGGATTATCTTCCGCTGCAAGATAAGCAATTAAGTCCAATGCAGTTAATCGCGTTTGTCTGCGCGATGAAACAAACACAAGAGATGGACTGGACGGTGAATGTTGTCGAATTGCCTGAAAAGTTGGTTTATTCATTGTTGCCATTCGAGGGCAATAATACTTTCCAGGATACCCATTTATGTGAATTTCTAATGGTACAGGCCGTACAGACGGACGGAAGTTATAGAGACCCATTTCTTGAATACCAAGCCAATTAGCTAGGTCCATTGCATTAGCCAATGCTGTAGAAAGTCCAATAATTCTTAGTTTTTTCAGAGTATGAGAAGAGATAAAATTGGTTCTTGAAACAATAACTTCCAATATAGGACCACGATCTTCTCCTAAGAGATGGATCTCATCTATAACTATAAGTGCAACATTTTTCACGTAAGTTCTTGTCTGCCAACTTCTACTGATACCATCCCATTTCTCTGGCGTAGTTACAATAATATTAGCACTAGCTATAACTTTAATATCGGGTGACACATCTCCAGTCAATTCTACTACTTTTTTCCCCAGTTGTTCCTCGAATCTAATTTTCCAATCTTTTATTCGTTCTCTAACTAAAGCTTTTAGAGGCGCAATATATACAATTTTCTGGTTGGGATATGCTTTAAATACTCTAAACATAGCAATTTCTGCTACAATTGTTTTCCCTGAACCAGTTGGAGCTCCTAAAAGGACATTGTTATCTGTGTGGTACAAGCAATGAAAAAGTTGTGTCTGTATTGGATTGAAATGAGAAAATTTGTAGAGCTTTTCGAATGTTGGTTCTTTTAATGCTTTTATTGGTAATGGTTGTAATTCCAACAAATCAGTGTACGGAGGATATATTTCAGGCAGAATTAAGTCATGAAACATTAGAGGTAACATACTTTCACAGCCCAACCAACGATCACTTGTTGCTTTTACTATGTACTGCGAAGGTAATGGTTCTACCAATGGTATAGTCATTACAAGTTCTTGTTCAAGATTATGGCAAACCATTTTTTTTGTCATGACAAAATATTCATGGTGATAAAGATTATTATTCTCTGGATTTTCTATCCATATCCAGAAAGGTTCAGAGGTTTTACCATGAACTCTGTCATTCCATTGGAACTGAGGATATATTCTCAAACGTATTCTTAAAACTGTTCGAGTAATAGGTTGTAAACTGTAATCCATTTCTACCATAGGTAACTCTTCGCAACATTTCTTTACCAATGCTGCTGCTTTCTGATTACGCAACATATCTCCAATTTCTTTGATGTCCATATCACACAATTTATCAGGTGTCAGGTCGTAGTGATTTAGTTTATCAATAATTTCTGATGATAAACAAGAGAATTGACACAGTGGATGTGTATGACTCCATTGTTGCAACTCAAGCATTTTTGACATTTCTAATATGCGTCCAGACATTATTGCATTATTTTTTCTTAACATAATTTTAAATAATGCTCGACATATACGTAAAGCATTTTGAGTAATATATGCTTGATCCGATATTAATGAAAACGAATGAATGCGACCACGTGACAAATATGTTTGCAGCAAAATATTCACTTTGCCATATACATTTTCGCAACCGCCACGTGGTATGAGTTCACAATATTCTGCAGACAAATTTTGCAGTTCTTCAAATTCTTCATCTCTTACTTTTAGTTGTTGAAATTCTTGAGATTGAGATATCATTGCAAGTATTTCTGAATCGCTCATAATTGGCTTCATCAATTCATTGAAAATTTCAACAGTATCGTATTTAAGGTAAAAATAACTTGCAATACGTCCTAGATCCGTTGTATTAAGATCCCCAGTATTTAAATTATATCGGATCATTTTAGCTTCATCTAATTTTCTGGCCGCTATATCAATTAGTTCTCTCCTTGTTTGTTCTAAATACTGGTCGTCTAAAAGTTTTTGAGGGGGAATACCATACACATGATGATTCATTCTCATTCGAACAAACAAATAAGTATAACTTAGCCATTTTATAGCTTCCTCTACATTTGATATTGTACCTAGTGCAATTTCAGCATTCAAATTATCAGCCAAGTATTTAATGAAATTACTCTCAATAGGTGTTTGATTTGTTAACAATGACAAATAGTGATATAATTTATTATGGGAAGTAATAATAACAGCATCGCCAGATGTGTCGAACTGTGGTCTACCAGCTCGTCCAAAAATTTGTAAAACATCCAGTATATCCAAATCAATAAATGAACCTCTGTTCGAATCATATATTTTTGTTCCTCTTATTATCACTGCATGTGCAGGTAAATTTACGCCCCAAGCTAGTGTCGATGTGCAAACTAACACTTTAATTAATCCTTCGGCAAAGTATTTCTCAACTAAATTTCGTTCTGAACGCAATAACCCAGCATGATGCACTGATAATCCATTATTAAATAATTCAATTAGATGCTGATTACGCGATTTACTAAAAGCTTTGCTTGTAAATTTTGCATGGCCTTCGGGCGCAAATAATTTTAACGTATCATTTTGCAGTGCTAACTCTTTCAGTGCGTTTGCTACCCTAACAGTAGCATTACGCGAATGTACGAATATCATAGCTTGGTGTCCTTTACGTACTACTTCCACAACATTATTGTAACATACTTGATCCATATGACTCTGTTCTTGTAAAGGCATTGTCGCTTTTACGCCAATGAATGTCTGACTAAGCGGTACTGGACGAAACCGATGATCAAAATAAAAGAGTCCTATGTACGGATTCACTCTTAAAAATTTTGCAACATCTAAATAATTTGGCAGAGTTGCTGACAGTCCAACAATTCTAATCATATTTTGCGAAGATTCTACTTGTCTTAAAGTTCGAGCAACTAGCGCTTCAACCACAGGTCCTCTATCGTCATGTAATAAATGTACCTCATCAATAATTAACAATTTCACAATGCTAGTTAGAGAGATATCTCCAGTACCTTTTCTAGTAAGAACATCCCACTTTTCTGGTGTAGTAACAATCATTTGTGTCTGTTGAATTTCTGATTTGGTTAATTGCATATCTCCAGTCAATTCTCGAACTGATATACCAAGGCATTCAAGTCTTTTACCGAAATTTTTTGTCATTTCTGCTGCTAAAGCTTTCATAGGTGCAACATAAATTATTTTAAATTTATTCTTCATTAATTGACCATTTTCTATATGCTGTTTTATTTGATGTACAACAGTTAACATAGCAACATTAGTTTTACCTGCTCCGGTTGGAGCACAGATTAATAAATTTTCATTAGTATGATACGCTGCATCAAATACTATGCTTTGTATTTTATTTAGACATGTTACACCACTAAAAGCCACTTGTCCAATATCATCTAGTGAGGATATCATAATGGGTTTGTAATTAACATCAATTGGTTGCAATTCTGAAATTGGTATGTGAACTTCTTCACACATCGATGAATCTTTTCTCACAACATTTTGTGGTAGCATGATTTTTTGTTCCGATATGAAACTGCTTGTACATCTACTGGTTACATTAGAATCAAATACAAATGGAAATTTTTCTTGTATATTTCTATCTAAAGCAATTTCTCTCCTTAATACAGGTGTATGCTTTTCGTTTAATGCTTCCAGCTTTGTACAGTACAAATCAAACGATAGAATGTCATTTTCTTCTAAAGCATCTTTTTCTTCTCGTTTACTTGATATTTTATTTAATTTTTTTTCCTTTTTCTGTATTTGCTTGTTTAAATACTTTTCTTTTACAGATTGTACAGTTATCTGACCGCTAATAACAGGCCTCTGTATATTAGATTGCTTTTGTGTTTTCAAACTACTATGATAAACTATAATACTTTTTTGATGCTGTATAATATACTCGATAAATTCTATATGTTCTGAACCTAAAAAATCTAACAGCTCGTTTTGACTTTCACAATATATTAATTTGGAGATTATTAATCTTAAAAAATTCTCAAAAGTAAAATCTACGCAAAATTTTTTATAGCATAACTTCAAGCCTCTTTTGTATATTGTTTTATCAAACTGAAACAAAATATAACGATAATTAAAATATTTTAAAAAACAAATAAAATAAAAAAAATTTCATGCGTACCTCAGTTTTGCATGGTTTTGTGATTTCATTTTTGTATTTCATTGTAAAATTATTGGTAGTCTGATTTGTATTTTTCAACTGCATGCTACGAAGCATTGCAGTATCGGGCCACACAGCTCTTGCAGGTTTGTAGACTAATTTTGTACCGAATAAGTCAGTTTCTAATATTTCAGTACTATTAACATTTTTGTTTCCATTTCTTAAAAGTTCTAGTGTATCTTCGTTTATTACTTCCCGAATTAATGATACTACCTATAGAAAATAAATAAAATTTACAACTAAAATTAATTGGGTATGTTAAATACTATATACTAAGTAAAATCGACTCAGTACTGATTGTAAAACAATGTTTCAAAAGTTGTGTACAATAATTGTTATGTAACAAAGTTTTTTTGCAACATTATTATTAGAATAAGGAAAAATATTTTTAAAAAGATGTATACAAATATTTCTTTGTACTTTTTAAGTATACACAGTTTTTGACTATATTACAGGAGTTAATTATAATGCTAGAAATCACACAAGTTGATATATACTTACATCCATCATTTTATGAGCAATCTCGAGTGTTAAATTTCCTGCTTTTTCTTTTAAAACCTTAAATTTCTTCTCCGTTATCAGTTTTTCATCCATTAATGAATACAATATAAATATCGTAAACTCATTTAAGAGTTCAGAAGAGTATTCACCTAAAATAATAATAAATTAACAATATCTTTTCAACTTTTATCATTGTAAATAATTACATACCAAGTGCTTGTGCAGCAAGTTGACGTAGCTTATTCATAGAAATCATAACTTCTTTGGATAGAAATTTATCTAAATCCTGCCATTTGAGTGTTCTATTTTATATGTAAATGTAGATATATTATAACATTTTTAATAGACCACAAAATTCCATACTAATGCTAATTATATAATTTATACAGTATATAGAATTTAGTAGGTATTAAGTAAAGAAATACCTTTTTAAATAGTTAGATTGTTCTTCATGTTTTTTAAATAAATTGTTTGGTTCCAATTCAGTTATACTTTTAATACGTCCAAGGTTTGTAAACATCCTCAACGACCTTGTTATACGTGGTAATTCCAACATTTTCTATTCAAGAATATATCAAAGCACATTAATTATAATATATACATTTCTATATATTTAATTGCAACATTTAAAAAATTAATACCACTTTTCATTTAAGAAACTATCAGCACCATTTATTTTCTAGTTTTGTTTACATTATATCTTTTATAAACATATATATTCTATGTACTTTACTTAATGATTCTATGTAAAAAATAATATATAGTTTTCTATAAAAAGAAATGAAAATCAACGTAGTTGTATGCTTAATTTTATGAATAACTGTACATTTTTTTGATATGTAACAGAAACTATATATGTACCGATAATAATTAACACATATCGTTTATTCGGATTTACAAAATTTTATTTACTCACGCAAGCTATATTGGTATGTATTAACAGGTTATTTAAAACTAGAAAATTACTTAGTTTTTTCCAGATTTTAGTTTAGTAGAAATATAAGGAACATAATATTTTTAGTATCGTAGAACTTAAATGTAATACATAATTGTTCAGCTAATAGGTTAGTTTTTTTTAATGATATTCATTGCTGAATGTTACACGATATTGCACTGTTTCTACACGGGCGCAGTGTGGCCATATTTGGCATAATTGAGTGCATCGAAATCGACAATAGTGACGACGAACTTCCTTAGCGTCTGACGGATTGGTGGGGAATCCCCACTGGGGATAGCAGGCACAGCTACCACACGAGCTACGTGTACTTCGGGGAATCGAGAAAGAGGGTGAATGTGAGCCCTTCTTTCTTGATATGATACATGTTTAAAACTCCCTGACCATGTTTTAACTATTGAAAAAAAGAAATTTTTGTTATTATTTCTATGAACGAGCATATCTATATATATATATATATACATGTGTATATTATTAATACGATTGAGTATAAATACCTGATTGAAGAAAATCTAATTAGATGCCTAAATATAACGACGAAAAAAAAATTTCAAATCATTCTGGAAAAATTATTTTCGGTTGCGGGGGTCAACTATAATCACTTTTGGTGAATAGACATACCTCAGAAATCCTACGCACTTACGAGAAAAAAATTCTTTACCAAAAATATAATGTGAGGTTAGAAATGTTTCCCTGAAAGTTCATGTGTATGTTTCAAACATCATAACTTCTGAACGGATTGGAGGATTTTAATGTTTCAAAATGCAAATTACGCGTATTTTGGCGTAGAATATGTAGAAATTTCAAAACTAATCGGAAAGTTGTTCCTTAATTACGTGAAGTAACAAAAACCCCATAAAAATGGTCCAATTTTCAAACGGGCATAACTCCTACAATAGTTAATGGATTTCATTAAAATTTAGTCTGGAAGTAGAGCTCATGGATACCTACAAAGAAGTATTAAACAACTTTTCTGTAGAGCGTCAAACAAAATCACTAAAAATGAAAAACTAATTTTTAAGAAAAATCGACAGGGGGCTGAAATTTTTCATCGACAAAAAAATTTTCAAATCGTACTAGAAAAATTATTTTTGGTTGCGAGCAAATTTTATTAATAATTTTGTTAATAACTTTTTAACGAAGCCTCAATCAACAAATTGGTATTCTTGATTTTCGTCTTATTTTGACCTCTAGAATCTCTCATTAAAATTTTTCCCGTGTGAATCTGTTGTAATTATAAATAATTTTAAAGTGGAGGATGTAAATGGGCGTCAATTACTATTAAAAATAAGGAAAATTATGCTTAGTGTTGCATACATATTAGTTTATTGCAACATGTTTGTATGTAAGATAACATAAAATACTGATGAAAAAATTACTTTACAAGTAATTTTATGAGTAATTAATTACGAAAAAATTGAACAAAATTCTTTATATGTTTCATTAGAAACATTATTTTACACAAGACTAGTTAAAACATATCGTTAGAGGATTAAACATTTAGTAAAATAGTTTTCAAATAAATACAATTTAATTAACATTTTTTATTTTATATTCAAACAATAGATAACATGATTGGCATGAATTATCCCATAATAGGAAGGATTTCGAAGACTCGTATTCTTCAATTGTTAAATTCTACTAAAATCCAAGAGCTTAATGCTATGGTTTTCTTTGTCATGTGCTTCTTGTGCGCTTGCTTTATCCAATTCATCAACGGACCAAATTTATTAAAAAAAGTAACCAACCGAATAAATAAATTAACATATTTCCATTGCAGTAACTGATAAGTGTAACGTCAAAGCATGATTACGCTTTCACGATCTGCTCCCACTCCGATCCATTTAACTGAAACAAACAACTTTCGCTGTAATTTCTGTCAAACATTCTTATTCTAAACCGCGGATAATAGCAACACCCTATATATAATTGTACGCGATTTTTATTGTATGTCAACATTTAATGATATAGATCCTTCAATGATAAGTACATTAAAATTAAATTAAAGTGTAAAAAAAAAACTTTTCTAATGTCTACATTCTTTAATTTTTTTTAATTTCATTCTAAAGTATAGGAAAAAATTAGCATCAAAATAAAATATGTATACAATAAGAAGTTACAGACACGAAGATTTTTAATACTACAGTATTATCACGCTAACAATAACGGAAATTTTAAATCTAGAATTAGTGTAATAGAATATTACCTGGTACGTTAAGATGCTCTTCTATTAGTTGTATATATTTCTTAGCATTAGCCGGCAGTTTTTCTAAGGAACGTACATTTTCTGTCTTCGACTGCCATCCATCGATAGTTTCATAAATCACCTCCACTTTCGCTAAATCGGAACTGCTGCTTGGAAAATAATCAATTTCTTTTCCATTCAACCGATATCCCACGCCAACTTGAATTTTTGGAAGCGTGTCTAGGATATCTAATTTTGTCACGCATATCGATGTATATCTAAATAAATGAAATTAAATTATCGGTATCGGTAACGGTACAATTTATTTATTTCCCGCCTTAGATTTTATCAAATATTTCTTACCCGTTCACCATCGCGGTGAACTTCAGAAGATTTAAATCTAGCCAACCGCAACGCCTTTTTCTACTCGTGGTAACTCCAACTTCGTGTCCCCTTTTTTGTAAAAAATCACCTGTCGCGTCTAGAAGTTCGGTAGGAAATGGTCCGTCCCCGACCCTTGTAGTATATGCTTTGACAACCCCAACTACTTCCCCAATATAAGATGGCGGAAGTCCAAGGCCGGTACAAACTCCGCCTATACTGCAGTTAGAGCTGGTAACATAGGGATACGTTCCAAAATCTATATCCAACATGGCGGCATTCGCGCCCTCGACTAACACTTTCTTTCCCTCGCGTAACGATTGATGTAAATACTGAACTGTTTCTTTTACCAATGGTCTTATTCTTTCCGCGTATCTGGAAACAGAACAACGTTGTTGCATTAAATGAATGACTGCCTCTGATTCAAAACGAATGTTATTTAATTATTTGATCCTTGATCCAATGGACTCTGAGGCCATTTGGAGCCGCACTAACTATTCCTTTCATTCGTTCAAGGTCCTTAAGACGTAATAAGAATATTGTTATTGCCGACATTTGAAACACATACTCTTTATACTGTTGAAGCTCCGCTTTCACATCAACTTCCAGCGCTGGAAACATTCTTTGATACGACTTCACTAACGCGTCGAACTTTTGGGAGAATTTATCAAAATCTCCAAGAAGATCGCCGATTCTGAGTCCATTTCTGGCGGCTTTGCTCGAGTAGGTAGGCCCAATTCCTTTCTTAGTAGTGCCAAGGGATTGAGTTCCCTTCGCCAATTCCTCGAGGCCATCAACTTGCTGGTGAAAATCAAAAACAATGTGCGCCCGATCAGAAATGATCAATCGCTCCTGCCAATTTTTCATCCCTTTGGCTTCGTTGCTTTCTAATTCTTGGAAGAGGCTCGGTAGATGTATCACGACTCCATTCCCTGGAAAAATTATACAGAATTAAAGCAATGTCACTTGTTCTAACAATTTCAAAGCTTAATTAAGAGCCTTGGGAAAGAGGGTCGGAAGGTCAGCCTGAAGAACTTTAAATTGGTTAAAGCAGTTATCTCACGAACGGTAACCGATTCTTCTTCTTCTACACGAATATACAAATATATTAACGGTTCTAATGAGCATACGGGAGTCGCTGGAAACAAAATATTCGAATATCTTTCTTAAGTTTAAATATTTATTTTCGTTGCGTACACAGCGTGCCTGAAAAATCTGAACTTTTTGTCATGTCCTGAACTTGGCATTATTGTACAGAGAAATTGCAAGCTCTCTTGGCTAAGCACAATCGCTTTTTTAATTGATATTGTGGCGTCGCCTCCCATGCTCGCCACCAGAGGGGTCGCGCTGTCACAAGCACTCGACCGACCCCTCAGTTATATACATTCCTCGAACGACTTTACAATATACAGCGCCACAATATAAATTCTCTGGAAGATGCAGACCTATTCGAGGGACAAACTTGATCTTGGAACCAAAACTTTTCCAGAAACTAAAACGTCTCGAGTGAGAGCTTTATCTAAGCAAATCGAGACAATTTCCAACATCGACTTAACCAATATTAACATTTAATATTTAAGATTCGTTTCGTGGAACGTGAAAAGAATTAACAGAAAATAAAGATCCAGATTGTTAATAATTCCTACGCGTTACTGAAACGAACAAAAGGCAAACTCTGGCTAGAGCACGCCTGTGCAATCAATTCCGTTGATTCCTAACATAAAACAGTCATTCTATAATAACGCATTGGTTCGGTGGGTGGACGTCGGATACGAGACTGACGCCACGGACCGGTGGTAACCGATTCGAAACTGACGCCAAAGTCAGTGCAGCCAGTCGAAGTTTGTAGAATGTTCTAGCGACCTCGAGGTCTAAATTTATGGCGCAGAGAACGTAAATGCGGGTGGATGGGTCGTGCTCGTTCCTAGAAAGATAATCACGTGCCTAGTCACGATGAAGTTAAAGAACACACAAGATGACTGAGGAAACCCAGGCTTCATGCGTAACGAGCGTCCTTGTGATGGAGTTACGGCAACGGAACCACGGCCAAATTTCATTCTGCGCATTCGTCATCGGCGACTCGTGCGATTCACTGGCGATGGGAACGACTATCGAATCGATAGACTATCTATACCGGAAGCTGGTTAAAATATTATTTAGTCATCAAAGAAAGATTATCTATTCGATGTTTTTTTTTTTGAAAGACTACTTTCATGCCGTACAAGTTTTTAAGTATACTTTTAGACTGAGTTTAGTGGGGTGGGGAGGCACTAAATCCTTTGCACCCCCCTCCCCACGCAAAACTATTATCCAAATTTTAATCGTTTTTTCATCATTTTTTATTAGCCCCCCCCTTCTCCTCGCCATTTTAGGCACTTCTAGATCCACCACTGATCGATTTAAATTTATTTCCACAAAAATATTGGTATCGATTAAATACTTGGGTACTAAATTGCTAAAATTATTATCAATGTTTAACCATATCGGTCCCATCGCTACAAAATGGATCAATTGTAACGATGGGACCACAATCCAATGACATACCCATTAATATCGATACGTATCAATTCCCAAGCATTGGTTCGATGCGTCGCACAGATAATCATCGATATTAAGTAAGATATATACTTGTCGACATTTCTCGTAATATAGGCGCAACTCGAACCATCAATTATCATCGAGATTACGAGACATCGGTATGTCTGCTATTCAGATTCGAATATCTCTATTTGTCTTTCAAAGCTGTTCTTCGGTTTACTTTAATTTTATACAAATTCCTCGACTGAATTAATGCTGGTATAATTATTTATTTAAAAAAAACGAGGTCGATCTGATAGTAAAATTAATTTTTTGAATAATTACTGTGCCTGGAAAATGTCCTCGACATTTTCTCGGTCTTTAGCGTGGAAAACAGACATGTTCAAGAGTTCTTTAGCGTGTTTGCCACTTCATGGCGTCACTAATAATTATTTTTTATGCAATTATACGATTATTACGATCGAGCGAAGTTTAAAGTTTCATATTTCCCTTTTCTTTTTTTATTTTGTGTTATTACATTATAATAGTATACAATTTTATTGTAAACCGTCATGATCGAAAAATAATTACCTATCAACGATGCGCATCTAGAATTGATTATTCCACTGGGCAGAAGATGAAAGTGAAACTCCACACCATCTACTATAACAGTATGCCCGGCATTGCTTCCTCCCTGAAAAATTAAAATTTTTCTTTTTCTCCTGCGTACACAATTTTTCTAATCGGTCGTTTATTTCATACGTTTTCAATTTCCCAAATTCGATTCAACATTTTCATTTATGCTTTTATAAAAAAGACTTTGAACGAAGTGGGTACAATGACAACGGAAAAAAAAACATTGAATAAAAAAATTATTATTCTAGGATCCATTGCGTTCGATTACCCGCTGGGCTTGCTTCTTTTGCTTTTTTTACTTCGCTGCACCGTTTATAAATAATAATGTGAAATATATATACCCGGCAGTATTGTAAGCATTGAAGATATAGAACTTCTTGGTACCTTAAATAACAGCTAAACTATTAACTAAGCTTCAGTATTTTAAGCACTATAACTGTGCAAAAGCTGATGACGATGAGTCAACTTTTCTAGACAGATTAGGACATTTCGAATTACTATATTAATGAGAATAATATGTACTAAAATAACTGAAACGAATTAATTCCCAATATTGCTGCATTCCTCGATAAAGCGTTCAAGTTTGGGGCAGCTCGTAACGTTTTAACGAGGTAACGGTGAATTTGACTCTTGAAATGTTTTTTTATTATTTCGAATTGCTATGTTAATGACAATAATACTAGGAAAACATACGCAATTTTACTCGGAATAATCGAAACGAATTAATTCCCAATATTGCTGCATTCCTCGATAAAGCGTTCAAGTTTGGGGCAGCTCGTAACGTTTTAACGAGGTAACGGTGAATTTGACTCTTGAAATGTTTTTTTATCATTTCGAATTGCTATGTTAATGACAATAATACTAGGAAAACATACGCAATTTTACTCGGAATAATCGAAACGAATTAATTCCCAATATTGCTGCATTCCTCGATAAAGCGTTCGAGTTTGGGGCAGCTCGTAACGTTTTAACGAGGTAACGGTGAATTTGACTCTCGAAACGTCTTGCATCTTGAGTTTATTTAACAAAAGAATTCAATTTTCCCAAGGAAAAGCGTTTCTCGGTGTTCCAGCACCAGAGAAAATATCTCGGGAAATAAGATTGGAAGTAACAGGCTTATAAATCATATAAATCGTTTAACACTTGAATGTCGGAAAAAATCTTGCGGCGATACAGTTCCAGCCTTGAGGTTTCACATTCATGTGACTTTTTGCAATCACCACGCCCTGATTAATTAAAACCAACTGCGTAGAACCCTAGATTTTATAAATAACATTTGAAACCAATGAATATAACACTGTAATTCTTTGTCTAAAACCATTTAAGACATCAATTATTAATTACTTTTCGCCAGGAATTGTCAAAAATTTATCAAAAAGCGAGTGTTGTAAATTTTTTGAAAATTTCTACACCCAAAATTTTTTATGATAAAAATTTCTTTTTTTTGTTTTTTTTAGAGACTAAAGTTTATAAACCACTGGGGATATAAAGCATGATTTAATAGTTCCTTGCATTTTTTTTGAGGGAAATTATTTATAAATAGAGTGAAAAAATTATTTTAAGAACGTCGATGACTTTAACGAAGTAACTGCTACGAAAGTGATTTTAAGAGTTCGTTTTCGTTGATTGTTCCGGTCGTTATGCAGATACACAATTAATTGCAGAGTCGAGAGAATGCCGAGACAACGGTGCCATGCAATTATCGTTTCAGAAATATCAAACTCGGCCCGATTTCGTGGCACTGAAATCACGACCCTGATTAGAACATCAAAGCAACGTGACTTTCGGTTTCCACGACGATAAATACTGCAATATACATTGTCACGATAATAGAAATCGAGTATTAACGTCACGTTAACATGCACGTTTATTGTCACGACAATTTAAAACCTCAGACTTTGGCAGCATTCTGTACAAGTAGCGATGGGATCGAGTGTATCGCGACGAACGTTACGCTCTTACGAGTACAGTATTGTCTCTCTATAGCCGCGCGTTTTCGGATTCTCTATAGACGCGAAGCTATCCCCACTACTTCGTTTGTAATCACCGCGCCGCGACATCGGGTATCGGATATCAAAGAGAAAACCGAAGAAAAGTCGACGAGCCCCATCCCCCTTGAACGCTCGAGCGTGAAATCAAAGAAAGCCGAATAGACTACTCGTCTCTCAAGTTGCGTGCGCCCGGTCCCGACACGCGAGCCTATAGAGAGACAATACTGTAGTATGCTTGGTAATTAAATCCAACAATGCTTTTTCATACTAAACACCAAATAGAAGCGTAAAACCAAATAACATGTGACTTAGATTCGTAAATCCAAATTCAAATCAAAATTTTAAACGAACAAATTTCCATGGAAAACCTTACGTTTAGGGGAGGCAGCTGTGATAACCTTGACCTTGACTTATGTTGCCAAGGGCACTCCCCTGAATGACCCTCGGTAGGTTTTAGCCTTTTTTTTCAATCGTTTTTTTTATTAAAAAGTTATTATTAGTATTACAATGTGACCTTGACTTTCACACAGTTTATGAAGGTCACGCTCTTGAGCATCCCCAAAAAAGTCATAGCTACCTCTAGTTTTTTTTATTAAAAAGTTATTAGTATATAAAAATGACCGAAAATAAAAAACAAGAATAAGGAATTTCGTTTCATGACGAGTTGAACAGGATCACATTAAATTCGTTTAGCTGACTGGAAGACTGCCCCAGTCACCCCCTACACTAATCCAGACCTAACCCATTTTGTAATAAAATACAATATAATATAATCGTTTTACTTAAATAAATACGTTATATTATATGATTTTTATATGCTAATAACTTTTTAATAAAAAACGAACTTAACGACATATGTCAAGGTCAAGGCCATCGGTGCTGCCTCCCCTAAACGTAAGGTTTACCATTTCCATTACTTACTAAATAAAATCTGTTTCAAGTCTAGATCAGAAAATAGACTTCTTCGATGAATTTCATACACCCGTTTTCAATTCAAGCTTCATGAAATTGCACAATTGTAAATGTTTATAAACATTTTTGTACATTAATGTAAGGTGTTTCTACAGAAATAAATTAATAAAAAATTACATTAGAATTTTAGAGGAAATCTTTCTTACTGAATAGATGTACGAGAAATTGTGAAGTGTGTGTTATTTAAGACTGCGTTATCAGCATGGCTTATCCTAATCTCAAGTGATCAGATTTTCACTTCCTGTGTACTTAGACAAGCTAACGGGAGACAGTTATTTTTCAACATCTTCAACACTCCCATTCTTATTTCTTTTTTTTTTTTTAAATTAATTAATTAATTTATTATTAACTATTTTAGTGTCACTGAAATTTTACAGAGAAAAATCAATAGACATAAATCAAGTTTTATATTTTTTATGCTTCATATATTATACGATCTGGAAGTTTGAAAACATTGTTACTAATTGCAACTTAAATTGTAAAATGCTTCGAGATCCAGCAAGGAAAAATATATTTTAAAAGAAACTAGAAACAGATTGCTCTGAAATTTTAAAAGAGAACTTCATAACTTCGCGCGATCAAAGTCGCACGCTTTATATCGAATTACGTGGTGTAATAATTGCTAAGAATAATAGAATAATTGCCAAGGCCGTGAATGCGTAGGCGCAAAAACACTCTTACGTGTCCAACATGTAAATCAAATAAGATAACAACACGTAGAAGAAAAACTAGTTTCTATCATACCTTTCAAGTTCTATCGATTGAATGATTTATTACATTATTTTCAGTTTTGTGATTAAATCAATACTCCTCTATACCTTCATTCGTTATTTAATCAATATTTTACTACTATCACAATTATTATTCATCTAATCCTTCGTGGTTATTAGTTTATTTCTAATTTAAATTAAAAATCGATATCCGAATTTCTGTGGGAGGATGGGAGTCAGAGTAACAAATTTATTTTAAATTAAATCGACGTAGCAACTAGTTCTGGAAAATACTATAGAATGTCGTCCGTATCTGTTACTTAATCTTCGTGAAATAATAAAGATTCTTGTAGACCGTGGTAGTAAATTGATAAGACACTGGGACTTTTACGAAACATTGAATAAAAGATTTGCTACATTACGTTGCTATCTAATCGAATCTACAGCAACTGAACTGGACTAATTCCAACCTTTATTTGTTTACTCAACGCGAGTGGAACATATTATGGCCGTATCACGTGACGCGCGAAACCTTCAAACCTGTGAAATCGCTTACAGGACAAATTATTATTCGTTCGACACAACACATTTATTTAAACGTCACGAATATACATATTTGCACGCCTAATTGTTTCATATCGTACTCCTAAAAATAAATATTTATTTTTTTTTTGGAAATAACACATTAGTTTGAATTATTTCCCTCGATAGCTTATTGCATACAGAAAGTCTCCTTTGGCAGTTCGTAATATTATACGACATAAAAATAATGCTGAAAAAATAATTTTTCAATGACAATTCTCCGAATAAGTTTACAGTTTCTCGTTAAATTTCAAATTCACAAATGTGAACAGAGTATACTTACGTGATATCCTTATTCTACCTCCGAAGTTACTATTTTTTAATAGGATGAAAAGAAGAAATAAAATGGCAAATTTAATTTGGTTTCAATAATTATAAAATCAATTTTTTTAGCTTTCAGTCTCTCTGTCTAAACGTATCACAGTTACAATCGACATTTACCAAGAAGACTTATTCTAATATCGAGTGGACGATATTCATTTCATGCAACTCGGCATTTTTATCGCGAGACGTTAGTACGATACGTATTATCTCTGTCTTTATCATCGTTTATTTAAAAATGTATAACAATACTTTTAAATGATACCAATGGTATTCCTATATTTATTGAACTTCTACTAAAATAGAACACACTCTTCTTATTCGTTAAATTATAATTCTGTATTATGACTTTAGTGAAATTAACATTTCTTTTTCCATTTTCTTATATCATCAAATGCATCAGATATAATTCGGGTTCTAATGATTAATGACTCATCCTTTATATGTAACTTTATTTTAAACGATGATCTGTTCATAAAAAATGAACACTTCAATTTGAATGTAATTGATTAAAAATAATTTTACTGTAAAATCACTCTATATAAATATATACAATTATATGTACATACTATTCCAAACTCAAAATAAATCCAACCCACATTCTTCAGATATTTACAGATTTTATTTAGGAATTAAATTATACTTTTCCATGGGTCATAATATATTTAACTCTTCTTATTTTAAAACTATTTTAGACTGTGTCTATGAAAATTTCACTAAATTCTTTAATTACATAAATGAAATAAAAATGAGCTTATTCGTAAAATTAGACGATTTACTACATTGTTATAACAGTTTAAGTAATCTAAATCAAACACAGAATTATTATGAATTCTTTAAAAATATATAATGGTTGAAGTAAAAATGATTGCCAAGTTTAACAGTTTACTATAAACTATAACAGTGCCAGACTATAAACATAACACATATTATGTCCATGTATATTTGTGTATCAATATTTTGGTACAACTGGAGTACCACATAATTTGGAAATAACATTTTCTGCACGTACTGTTACATTATTAACAATTATGTTTGATTTTCATTATGACCTTGCGCAGTCTTTGCTAATAGCTTTAGAACTTCTATTTTTATTACACAATAGACATATTGCTCTAAGAAGATATTTATTCTTATTTCTACGAAGAGCTATCCAGGGATGAAGTGGACTTTGCCTTGTTTAGATTTCCTTTATTTTGAATAGTTCAAAGTCAATTATCGAATGCTTGAACCACAGGACATATTTCTACTAAATTAATAATAGAAAGTACAATAGATAGGTGAATTGCATTAAACGATATTCTTTCTATTTCTGTGCATGAACAAAAAGATAAGAGAAAGCGGTGGGATCTTGTCGGATGCGTTAAATTGATCCTTTTAAACAGCATAGAAAGATGCAAAAATGTTACTACAATTAGCAGCAATCGGTTTATGACAAATATACAAATACAATTACATGATTTTGGTTAAAAATTGGTCCATGTTTCCATTCATAAAATATCTAATGTTTCTTTGATATTTAAGATTGTTTTAATACAATTTTATTATTAAAACGTAAACTGACATAAAAGATATACGAAAGAATGGAAATCTGAAGCGGTTATGCGATATTTTTACAGAAACGTAAGAAAATGATTACCCAGGTACCCGGTTGCCAACGTAAGGGTTAAGTTTACATCGGAAATCGCAAGAGACCGTCAATTATTTAACTCGTAAAAGTTGATCGGTACCCCCTCAACATGTGTCAAGGTCAAGGTCATTGGCGAGGTATCTCCCGATGTAAATAATTACCGAATTAAACTATGAAAATAGAATTAGACATTCGAATAATCACGTGACAAAGGGGAAGGAACAGCGAGAAAAGAGAAAGAGAGGAAATGTTTCGAGAATTTAGAAGAACATGACAGAAAACGAATCGAAATGCGCTGACGCGTATAGAATAAAGAGATCGTGGTTTCGTGAAATAACTACCCTAACGAACGGAATGAATCGCGATTGAAATGATGTAAGCACATGTAAGTTTCTGTTGAAAAAAAGGCGGACAAGAATGAAAAAGATGGAGGACGAGAATGTAAAAGATGGCGAACTCACCTGACACCTGCAGACGACGTCAGCATCCGTTGCAAGCATATCAACGCACTTGCCTTTTCCTTCGTCGCCCCATTGAGCTCCAAGGATGACAGTAACCTTGGCCGTGGCGCTTAATAATCGTTGTTTTTTTCTTGGTGAGGCGAGGACGCCATCGCCGTTTGCTCGTTGGACGGAACGCTGCATCTTCGAATACGAAAGAGTTCGTAAATTTTCGTACGATTGAACAAACTGCGCACGCACTCGCGAGTCGGAATTCACCACGCGACTGCTCGAACGACTAAACTATCTTGCTTATATTTCTCGGTCGAATGAAAGGACATCTAGTAGGGAAACGGTAAAGATTATGTAAACGGAAGATTAGATTCATTCAGAATCGCCGTATAGCAGTAGTTCCTAACCTTCTTTTTTTTTTCACGGACCCCTTTTGACAGTTCAACGGAGCTCATGGACTCTTTCTATGTAATATTTGTCAGAATAATATTCTTAATTACTAGTTAAACGTTCTTTAACGAACAGCTAAAATCCTGATTTGCTTGGAACGGGATGAAAACTTGCACGGATCTCTCTACGAAACTCTCTGCGAGAATAATTTATATTAGACAGAAAAAGATTGTGATTCTTGGAGCCCGCAAACTATAGGTTGAGAGCCACGGACATAACGTAAATTTGAATATCGGAATTTTATCTTTTATCTACTAAAATGTGTTAAATATGAAAGTAGTTTTTGTATCAAAATACAACAAAATTGTTTGAAGACAATTCTTATTTATACATAATATATAATGTTATATACAAAACAAATATAATGTTATGAATAGGAATGCTATAAATATTTTAAGAACAGTTATTTCTTCTTAATTATCATTTTACTAAAATTTCATTGAAATAAAGTTTGAGCAAAATAATTTATTCAGATAATTTTGATTACATGACATCGACACATTTTCATGTTTCATTTTTCTTATTATGATTTAACAGTAGAACAATGACTAGAAAATTTGTTTCAAGTCTATAGTTACAGAAATAGAATTTTGTAACGAACGAATATATTAATTAATTAAAGAAAATATTTGTTGATATGTGAACATTTGTTAATAGTTATACGATAAATATATTTTTTACTGTAAGTTAGCATGAAACTCACGCCGTTCTCTGGCACGTCGGTTTTGAAACCAAATTTTCACCTAAAACAAGAAATTATTATAAGAATTATGTAAAAAATACGTATAAAAATTTGTTCTCGACAACTTTTTATAAAACATTTACTTTCTTTAAATTCAAGATAGTTTTCGTTTCAGTTTCATTCAATTGTTACAATTAATAAAAAATGTAACATAAAATTTGCATTGTGTCGAACCAGAGACAGAAGGAACGTCATATGCCTTGTGGCCGCCATTTTATTTCTGTCAGCTATGATACTTTAGTAATACAATTGAACGTAAAACTCTATTTTAGACGAAAAACTTTAAATACTAATTTTATACTTTAATGAAGCTCGTAATAATTAAAATTTTCAAATATGCATAAAACCAAAAATGATATAAAACCTAATTAAATACTGGAAATACCTTTTTGGATGGAAGTTTTAATGCGATGGAAATATCCAGTACGTCGTTTCTTGAAAGGTAAGCATTGTCACGAAACTTTTGTGCAAGAAAATCGAGTTGAAACGTTGAAAATGGTATTCGAGGCTGAAGACTCGCCTTCCTCTTATTCTTACCAACCGTTGACTTCCGGCGAATTTTCGGCGGTTTGTATCTTGTAAATTGAAGCCACTCTAATTCTTTCGTGCTTTGTGTCGTTTCTAAACTTTTCGTTTCGTCTTTGACAAATTCAATCAATTTTCTATTTGAATTATCGGGTAATAAATACTGGCTTTTTATTCCTTCTAACTGTCTACTTAAATTATCTTCCAAACATTTTGATTTATTTCCCAATACCCCACCGTTAAGATCTCCGTTAAAATCCTCAATTTGCTTTTTTCTACATCTATCAAATTTTCTTTGGTTTCTCTTCAAATTCCTTTCAGAATGTTTTTTCTCTTCATTGTTTATTTGACAATTTTCCCAACAATTGCTCTTGTCGATATCTCTGTAATTTACATTTAATTCTTCTTGTAATTTTGTCGAATTCATTCCGCATTCACTTCCAATTCTTTCGACGGTATTTGTCCCGTTGAAATTTAAATTTAAATTTAATTTTTCTTGCACGTGGAATCCCGAAATATTTTCACAATTTTTTGTACTCTTTCCATCGCACGCGGCTGTAAAGTTTAGTTTCTTCTGGCGTTGTCTGGAATTTGTACAAATATGTTCTTTTAAACACGAATCACAGTTAATTTCAAAACGTTTTCTCGAATTAATCGTAGATCCGAAACGACCTTCCTCGTTCGTTGCGCGCGTTGTTTCCTCCGCGTTAACATTCGAATCTGTTCCGGACTGTTTCCGACATTTTTCTTTCTCGGTGTTTTTGCAATGTTCATTTTGCTTTAAAACGAACGTATCGGATAAAATACTCTCGATGCTGAAGTCTTTCATCTTTCTTACCGGTTTCATGACTAAACTTAAACTGCGGTCGTTCAATGAACTCCTGTTTATATATATGGCCCTACTATACGACCCTAAATTTTGCCGATTTACGGCTCTTTGAGGCTCGGTTTCGAATTAAACGCATAGTTGAGCATTTGATGCTATCTTGTCGGGCCAGTGTTGTAGCGTCCAGCGACTTTCAACCTAATCTTTCTTAAGAAAATAAATTATTAAGTACGAATCATTTCTCGATGAAATTATTTTGAATTTTTAAAAGATAAAGCAACATTTTTCTATATTCTTTTATTTTTAATAATTCTAATTTTATTGAAAATTCCTTTTCGTGGTATTTCTCTTCACTCGACGTTCTTTGATATTCATATTTTATTACATAAATTTTTGACCAAAAATCAATACAAATATAAATATATCTGAAATAATTTCTCATTGAACGCGGCATCAAAAAAAAAGAAGCATGCATAAAAGTTTAAGGATCGAGTTGATAAACACTGTTCAACTGGTAGCACTCGAAACTATCGCATAATCCCAAACACATTATCTATAGGGATATCGATCGGAGTTCTGTAATAACAATGTAATTGATACTGTTGTGGGGAACGAAGAGACGAGAATTGAGCGAAGGGTATACAGCCCTTATACGATGATTTGAATGGAGCAGATGGGATGCGGTGAAGTTTACGTAATTGGAAAACCATAGAGTATCAGGATTATCCGATAAATGGGCCAAAGGGTAAATATAAATATTTTGATATTTATAACCTAAATGGTATCCTTAGATTTAGAAAATAATTCAAATTTGAAGGAACAGACCAGCGTTTCCGGTACTGTGATCGCTAGTAATTCATTACTTAACGAGTAACCGAAGCTTCTTTTTATAGTTCATATTTCGGATAAAAAAATAAAGATTGTTAGAAATGGCAAATAATATATTAAAAAATTCATGACACAAAAAGTTATAATATTAATTACGAAATCACAATGAATTTTTATATTACAAAATAAAAAATTTCCATGCATTATGTTTACCACTCCGGGGCAATCTTTGTGCCTCTGTGCATTATATTTTGTTTATTAAATTCAACTCAATTTCAACTTCTAAGTGAACTTTATTGAGAAATATTTTTTTCATGCGAAACAAGGAATTTTGTTAGTGAATAGAAAAAAAATTAAAGAGTAATAAGGAGACGAATGCATAAAGAAATGGATAATTGCTAAAAAAATTTGGTCACTTTTTATAAATATCCATATGTACAACACTAGCAATATTACAGTAGTTAATAAGAACACCAGTTCATATATTTATGACACTATAAATTTTATTACTCATATTTACTATATTCTCTAATACATCAACATACAAGTTTCAATAAAGAAACGTTTATGTGAGGGATCTTAAGTAAAAACGAGTTGAATAATCCTTGACGTGTGAATGCAGATTAAGTTCATTACGTGTAGGTTTAACGAATTTTTCTGGAGGAAGTGAAAGAAATACTGGTTCTCCAAAGTAAGTTCCTAGCTCCCATTCTGGAACATCTTTCATTAAATCAGCTTCTTCAATTGCAATTTCTCTCATACGTTTCATCAATCTGTAAAAAGGAACAAATATGAATGTTTGCTGTTAGTAATTTCAAGTGAAAAGTGTGGATGAAGTTATGTAAAAACAAAACATTCTTACGCTCTGTCTCTTTCTGCCTCCAACAATGGTTCTACAGCAAGACGAGAGCTTCTCATTTCAATTTCATTTCTTCGATATTCGTAGCAATTGGCATGATACAAAACAGCTCCAACAGCTGTACTAATATAAAGAGCTGCAAGACCAAGTCGACCTAAAATTTATTTTTTGTTCATCACTGAATATTTTGTACAAGTGTCATGTAACTGTTCATACTTGAGTAATGAAATTCGGGAATACATAATCTATATGCATACCTCCTACAATGGTACGCAACTGAATTCGGTCGATTTGATAAGGTGCATATCCTCCTTTCGGAGGTAAATCTTGCATTTCTATTCTCGTCCTAGTTGTCATACTTAATTAAGACACTGCTTTAACACTTAGAAAACAGATAACAAGTGTTCGCCATAAACGGTTACGTATTAGTGTCAGAAATCAGAGGTACATAACTGGCGATTCTACGCAGAAAAAGTCACTAGCGTCCGTTTCAACTAGGGAAAATCCTTGTTAGACTTGTTACGCTACCGCGTGAACTTAGATTCTATTGCGTTGTTGCGTCCCGAGATCGTGGTTTAGGGAAAAAGGACGGTGGATTGGTGCCCGTGGAGCGCTGAACCGCTCTGCTCGGCGAGGCGCGCAAAAATCAAACTACTAAGTATATTCGAAAAATGGTTGGTAAAATTTATTCGTCTTCGTCTCGACTTTTAGATACAACTTGGTTGACTTTCAATATCGATCTGTTCCTCCGCGGAAATCTTCTCGTCGTCCTCGATGTTCATCCCTTCTCCGGAATATTCCTCGATCCTCCCTCTGGATTGTCCTGGTCCAATCGGGGTTTGTGCCCTGCCCCATCCGTCCGGATCGTCTTCGATCGATGATCCACCCCCGAGCCGCGTGGAGGTGGAGGTTACGCGGCCATGTTGGAGCGGGCGCGCGTGAGAGAGAGCGTGCCTAGCCAAACCTTGATATCCCTATGCTTAGAGCTAACTTCACATAATACACAGATTCATACCAGCGGAGATCGCAACAATTCAATGCATATAGCGCCGCAACGGGAATTAATTAGAACTCGATTAACCACCATGGAGTGAGGATCATGTAACTGCCTTCAAATTAGGAGCGAAATTCAAACGGACAACCATATTATAATATATAATGCTATTGTATTCAACGTGGGCGATCTAGCAGGGGAAAGTCAAGGATCAAAAGAGAAAAGAAGCCATTTCTTAAAAATACTTGGTTCATTTTCTAAAGGCCGTGTCGAATCGGAAATTCCGTTCATTTTTTTCAAAAGGATCACAAACTTTCTTAGAGGCTGTGTTCAAGATCGGTGGGTTTCACTTCCTCATTTCCCTAAACCGCCGAATTGGGACGCAACAGACTCGAAAAACGACATTGGCAACGCGCGATATTACCAATTGTCCCTATAAATAATATGTATATATAATAAAACTACTAATAATTTATATATGTAGATCACAAGGACGTAGACAGAATTTTGTCTAGGAAGTCATAATATGCAATATTTAAATAATAATCAACATGGCATCAAATGCTCGAGTCCCATTCTTTTTCAATACTGCAATTGTATCACACTTTTCGGTCATTTATTTTCAAAGAAAATTGAATTCAAGTTGAGCTCAAGTTGGTGCAGCTGCGCCATAAATTACATAAAATGTTAGACGGTAGGCATAAACATAAGCAACATTAGCGCCATTCGTGGGCCGTCGCACAAGCTCCCAGTGACCCTACTTTTTGATGAAAATTACTCTAATGGGGATCTGTGCCAAGATAATCCTGGAGGGACACTAAAAATTTGCGACGTTAACATAGGACTTTGAACTTACTTATTATCTGCGACTCTTGCCAATTACCGGTATGGTATTTTTGACATTCAGTCCTATTCTTAGTACAAGTGTATAATTTTTTTAATTAAAACGAACAAATTAAAGAATTCCGTTACATGCAAATTGTTTGTGAGTTTATTATTAAGTTTTGATATATTTTATATGAAATATCAATGTTTATTAGCTACCTATTTTTTTACAAATTGTCTGAATATATTATATATTTTAAAACTTTCAATTCAGTTCGTAAATATACTAGGATTATTCGTAAATAGTTATTATAAATATGTAAATATGTATTTAACGTTTGTAAACGTATTCAAAGAAAAAATTATTTTGAACGAAAAGACTTTATGTTTCCTTAATATTTTATAATGAATACTATTTAGAAATACTCTTTTACGTTGCAATTTTGTACACAATTGTTATTTTACATAAAAAAAAGGACAAAAAAGAAAAAGAAGACAAACAATCGAGCGTTAAAAATATTGATTACATCAGTATTGAAATGCTGACATGCATATAGGTTATATAAAAATATAGAATGCTGCTATACTATAATTAATGGATTCTACTGGGATTTGTAATAGGAAGACTTAATATCAATTTTTATAGTATACCATTAGTAATTTTTTTCTATAATTACAACAAAATAAGGGGGAAACTATATAATTAAGCAATTGTAATTATTACTATAAATTGAGAAGAAAATGGAAAATATGATGTATCGTTATTGAAATATCTGTATTAATTAATTTACTTTTGTTCTTGTTGTATATGTTGCAGGGAAGATAACTATACCATTATTTTCTTTCTAAATATTCACATAAATTTATAATACAAAAATCATGAGTTTACAATGGACATTGATTGCTGGTTTTCTGTATGCTCAAATATGTTTTGTATTACTCTTAGTATTACCAATAATATCACCAACTAAATGGCAAAAGTTATTTAAATCTAGATTCTTGCAATCAATAAGTAATCAAGCATCGTATTATTTCTATGTTGTACTTATCGTATTAGTTTTGTTTTTGTTGGATTCTATTAGAGAAATGCGAAAATATTATGGAATTGAAAGTGCAGGAGAACATACGCATTTGGATGCTGAGATGCAAGGTACATCTAATTTTTTATTACATAACATAGTTAATTAATTTTGTGCAAAATTTAATTATAATGGCCTTTCTATAAATAAGATATTATTATTTTACACAGGAAACATGAAACTGTTCAGAGCTCAAAGAAATTTTTATATAACTGGTTTTTCACTGTTTTTAAGCCTTGTTATACGGCGTCTTATGATTCTTATTTCTTTCCAAGCTACATTATTAGCACAGAATGAAGCAGCTATGCGACAAGCTCAGTCTGCTACAACAACAGCAAAGTCTTTGTTGTCGGAAAAAACACTTGGAGCGTCTGCACAAAATGAGTCGCAAGAAGTGCATAATAAAGCTGTGTCTGAATTAAAAAATCAGCTTAAGGAATTAGAGGTAAAAAATCAAGAAATGGAGTCGCAACTTGTACTAGAAAAGAAGCAGAGAGGTGCTATGAAGTCACAAGCTGAATCGCTTGCAGAAGAATACAAACGTTTATGCGATGAACATGCCAAATGTTCTCTATCGAGTGGTGATAAAAAAAGTGATTAAACTACACCTACCCACCTCACTTTCTCATTTTCTCTTTAACAGTGCTATCAAATCTAATTTAAAAACTTTATGCAAACATCTTTCTTAAGGTTATTGTTTCATATTGCATTATTTTATTAAAAAGATATATATAAGTCTTGTGTTAAACATTAAGGGAATAAAAAATTTGTTGATTGTGTAGGATAGTTCATCTAACTTCCGTGTCTCGGTTTTTGTTTTATTAACAATAAAAATAATACTTTACAGAAAAATTATTTGTGTTTAAGGATTAAATATTATGGTTTGAAAAATTATTTCGAGGTCGTTCAGTTTAAAAATTAAAAAGTCAGCAACATTTATGTATCTACATGTATTTATTATCATACTTTTTTTACTAGCATCAGTACAAATTTATCTACATATAATACATTGACCTTTGGCTGATCTTGAACAAGAAAATGGTGTATTCAATTTGAAAAGGAAAATTAATGAAACTCATGAGTTCTGCATTAGCGATTATTGTTTGGACTGAATGTTACTTCTAATTGTCGCAGTTAGGTTCCATGAAAGGGGAATGTGGGGGCGTGTGGTAGCGCGTTTTGTTTAGTATGATGCGAAGGTATTTGTTTTGTACGACTTTTTGTACGCCGTACGTAAGGATAGGGTGGATGCAGGTTTGTCACGGGCGCTCCAGGGGGCTCGGTACTTGTACAACTTCAGGGGCGGGACTGTCGACCAATCGGAGCCACTCGCTGCTGATTGACCCGGAGCTCGGCCGTGGGGATAACTTATCGACGTCGAAGACTGGTTTCTTTGAACATGAAGATGAGCAAATTCTATTTTTTACGTATTGAGTATAAATTTAATCAGTTGTTCATACTCAATCATATTAATAACATACATATGCATACCTATAGTCTATAGATTAATCCCAGGAAAAGAATAATTAGTAAATAATCAACCAGTGGTTTCGATTTATCAAAATGACAGAATATGATTTATCTAAGAAGTTGGCAATCTTTTAGCTGGAATGTGCCAAGCCATTCTGCCAATATGATTCAAAGTGCCGCCGAAATTCTTTTTACCACAAAGTAATAGTATATGTCCATCACATTATGTAATAGAGGAGTTCCAGAGGAGAAGAATTTGATACCAAATTTATCTTTCATTTGAAAAATAAAAAACATAAATATTCAACGCAAATTAAAAAAATTAAAAACACCCGGTCTTCACAAATTTGATTTACTTTGTAGAGTAGTGTAGAGTGCCATTGAAAACTCCACCGCGTGTCAGGTTGCCGACCCCTGATCTATCTCCTTTTCTAATCTCCTTCGATTGCACCGCCACCTAGTTTAACAGTACATTCTTCTTTGATATAATAACAACCTTCAGACTAAGTTTATTAAATAATTAATGTATGTTACAAACAACTAATCCCTAATGTGTATTTATATTCCTGCTGATCGCCACACAGTGCACACATAATTGAACATAATTTTAAACCTTTGTAAAAATAAAAGTTAACACAATAATACATGCAGAATGGCCCTTGGTAGAAGATTTAACTTGTTAATTTTGCGTGAATTAACAAGGTATTTCTATAATTCTTCGTTGTATATCCTTTTTTCTTAATTAGAAATATATATTATTTATGTAATAATTCATTAAAAATTGTTTAAAGAATGTTTGATCACATAACCTCAATTCACAATACGTTAATCAATTCTAATAAACATGTTTAATAGAAGTTAAATTGAAATATTTTATCGATAATGCATTATTACTTATAATACCAGATGTGCACTAATAAATATTTTAATATATAATGAATAGTGATTTTAAACAAACAATATTATTTTACAGGCACAATCCAACAAATATTATCCAATGTTATGCTTCTATTCCACCTTCGTACACTCAGCCAATTTATAAAAAAGATGAACAACAAGAGTTGTATAAAAGTGAAAGTTACAAAGAGCTAGCTCATGTACGTATAAAACCAGCCACTAATTCAGAGACATCATCTGAATTTCATGATCAACTTGTTAGGTAAACAATTTAATTTTTAATCAAGTAAAAAATTACATTGATTAATGGGTTGTAAACAATATATATCAAATTTATGTTTATTAGTAAATTCACAAATTACATTATGCGAAATGGTAATAAATTATTAGCTAGATCATTATTGGCAAGAACCTTTGAACATATTAAAATGATTCAATTGGAACGTTATAACAAAGCTAGTCCTGAAGAGAAAGAGCAAATTGAATTGAATCCAAAATTAATCTTTTTCCGTGCTATAGAAAATTGTAAACCAATTTTAGGATTGAAAAATATAAAAAAAGGTGGAATCACTTATCAGGTACGAATAAAATTTAATTTATATTTATTTCAATTTATTTATATTTAATTAATACATTAAATGTATTGACAGACAATGGTATTTGCCATTAATAAACTCCCAATTAATATTAACGTCATTAGGAACACTATCAAATAATAAATAATATAAAATAGTATTCCGTATTAATAGTACAAGAAGTCTTTTATTATTCGTAGGTTCCTATACCATTGAGTGAACACAAATCTAGCTTTTTATCTATGAATTGGTTAATTAAAACTTCGAAAGAAAAGGATGCTACACAACATTTCCCTGAAGTCTTGGCAAAAGAGATTATCGATGCTGCTGATAACAAAGTATATTTATATTATATTCTAGGTCATAGCTCATTTCAAAGCAAAGGGAGAAAATTGATAGATGCTAAAAAATTCGTTATTTATAGTAAAAAGATGGTTCTATTCAATTATCAAGCTTGTCTCGTATATTTGTTGATTTAAGTATTATGTAAAATAAGATTATTTTGTTTTGAAATAATCTGTTGTTAAATATAAAATATATTTCTTATTTAATTACAATAATTTTTATTTCAGGGTCGAATTGTGAAAAAGAAACATGATTTACATAAACAGTGCGAAGCTAATCGTGCTTATGCCCATTTTCGGTGGACATGAATATAACATTATATAACTGATTGTAAAATAAACTTATATTTAGAATAAAATCATTATTATTATCTGTTTGTTTCTAAATAATGTAACAGTATAATTAGAATTACTTTAAACTACTTTCGTCTATTCCAAAAATATCTATGAAGCATGGTTTTTCTTTGATACTTTTAAGTTCTGTAACCAATTTTAATTTGCTCCTGTACGATTTAATCTCCAATCTTCTATACAGCCAGTGACAAAAGTTCATAGGAGTCTCTGACAATGGTTGGATGTCTGTAAGATTAATCTTTAAATTTATCCGTTTACCCCAGTAATTTACATATGATAATATTACTGTTTGGTCATCGTCTTTGAAATATACAATGCCAATGTGATTATTGCACATCCATGAAGAAATATGAATTACAAAAGTAACCAGAGAATCTAGAAAAAATAATAAGATTGTTTGTAAAATTATACATATAAAATCTTAATTAATGCATCAAACTTACTCAGAAATATAACTCCCAAAGCATCAATTAATGGAATACAATCTAATATGTGAAAGCTTGTAATTATTGGTATTAATGCTGAATTAAGAATAGTGGCATTGCGCTTCGTTACATTAAAAATGGTAGCAAGTTTAATGTTCGAAGAAGAATAGATTATTCTGTAATCAGGATATAATTTTGACAGAGTTCCTTTTGAACAGCAATCATTTTCTTTGACTGTAGTTTTACTATATTGTCTGCCTGTATTACTGATATTAGTAGATACACGGTATATTAACCTCTTGTAAGCGTGGAGTGATCGTAAAAATACTGGAAATTGTATCATTGTTAACATAAAATTAAATGTAAGTACCTACTTCGTGTACAAAATCGAAGAAAAACAGGCATTAAGGCTCAGAATGTTCATTCGATTCTGGTATGGATCAGCCTTTTATTCGGCAAACGTTCTTTGAAAATGTGAACCGATTTCAACCAGTGTGGTTATATTTGGCATAATTGAGTGTGTTGCGTCCCGAGTTCGTGGTTTAGGGAAGAAAGGAGGTGAGTTGGTGCCCGTGGAGCACTGAACCGCTCTGCTTGGCGAGGCACGCAAAAATCAAAACTACTCGATACGTGTCAAAGTACTTTAGCAAAATTTATTCGTTGGAGTTAGCTCAGTGTACGACTTGTACATACAACTCGGTTGAGATTGAAAATCGTTCTGTTTCTCACCCAGGCGTTCGTCCCTTCTCCGGAAAATTCTCGATCCTCCCTCTGGGTTGTCCTGGTGTCCTGGTCCTGGGTGTCGAGAGAGAAAACGAAGCTAGCGGCCAAAAGCAACCCTTAAGAAAATTTATGACCCTCGTGAAAAACTGAACGAAACGCGAAGCGAAGTGTCGCGAGGTCATGCTGTGTTTTAAGACCATCGAAACTCTTAACGGAAATAGCCAATTCGGCACGGTCCGTAATAAACTAAAAGAAGGAACGACGGAAACTCCGATTCGACAAGGCCTTTAGAAAATAAACAAAGTATCTCTAAGAAATGCCTTCCTTTCTCTCTACCTTCCCCAGCTTGATCGCCCACGTTGAAAAGCATACAATTCCATTGCTTATTACAATACGCTGGTCCGTTTCAATTTCGCTCTTAATTAGAATGCAGTTACATGACCCTGCACTCGACGGTGAATAATCGAGTTTCAATTAATTCCCGCTGTGGCGCTATGTGCATTAAACCTATGTTCACTGTAAAACTCGTTAGATTTTAATGGTTCTCCTTTATTTATTATTTCAAATAGTGAAATAACCAATAAAATAAACTCTACTAGGCATCGCACCGAATTATATCTTTAGAGTCTTGTTTAAAAATAATGTAAAACCTAGTATCGAAAAATTTGGAATTTTACAATATTTACCAAGGCAACGACTCCAAACAAAAGTCCAATTTGGTCCAATAATGGCTTACCAACGATGTTCACAACTGAACGTCTGCGTAAATTCTGAAATTTTCGATGGAAAATTAAAATGAATACCGAAGTATGTGGATGTTGATCTAAGTCATTTTACATGTATGACATAAATATTTTCTTACGTGCCTTAGCCTTAGACCATCATTAACGCTAATCGAACTTTTTAAATTGGACGATATCAAAAATTCCACGAGAGTGATAAGATTTCATTACGAAATCAAATAAGCACGCGCTGAGAGTCGAAACCAATCATAAAGAAGAACGATACGAACGACACGGTGCTTGATTAGAAATACATGCTCTTTCGCGACTGTTATTTTCAACAAATTTTCCCGTGAATCGTATTGAGAGAATAATTTTCAAAAATTTTTTAGTACATAGAAAATACAACAATGAATGCATAAATACGAATCTTCGTGTAGGTTCTATGTTTAAATAATATTTGAAAGAGAAGTTACGCAACTTTCATAGTTTATGCTCGCACGTCGCGTGGATCGTCTCTCTGTGGGGTCGTCAAAAACGCGAGCATTACAGTTGGCTAGCAGATTAAGTACTGATAAAGCTTTTTCTGGCCATGGCGTTAATTTCTGGAAAAGTAATTTTCAGTCCTGGTAAGTAAACACGTCATTCATCATTTAAACATTATTATGATGCCTGGTCAATAACCGCAATAGAAAACAATCATGGTGTCCCAATTGATCTCGTGTATATGAATTACAACTTCACGACTACGGCTAGTCGCATAGAGTTTACAAGTTTGAACGATTGATTATTTTCAGTGCTCAAACAAACCGTTAGGCAGCTGTTTCACATCGACCATATCGTTAAACACGTAAGGGAATTTTATTATGAATTTTCGCCGGTGTGGCGAAATTTTCACGTTCCTCGTTAATGCGGCTCAACTTCAATTACTTCGTTCTTTACAGCAAGGAAACTTTTTGCCTGGTCAGTTATGCGTTGGATCTTTTTTACCATACGTGAATACACAGAGATTTTATGCAGAAAAGAAAATATTTTCGAGGGCCAAACCACATTGTAATGTTGGAACAATAGGTCATGTTGACCATGGAAAAACAACATTAACCGCAGCAATTACCAAAGGTATTTTGTTTGCACGTTTGATCCGGTACTAGATCCATCCTCCTGCTTTTTCATTAAATGCAATCATGTCGAATAGCATCTGTTTTTGTTGTTGCCAGTTCTATCAGAAAAGGAATTAGCACAGATGAAACAGTACGCTGAAATCGATAATGCGCCGGAGGAAAGAGCACGTGGCATTACTATCAATGTGGCTCACGTCGAGTATCAGACAGACAACCGTCATTATGGGCACACAGATTGTCCAGGGCATGCGGATTACATTAAAAACATGATCACTGGTACAGCACAAATGGATGGAGCTATCCTTGTAGTTGCTGCCACGGACGGTACTATGCCACAAACTAGGGAACATTTGGTTCTTGCTAAACAAATTGGTATTCAGCATGTTATTGTTTTTATCAACAAGGTAAGATACATCGAATGGTAACTTTTTAATTGCGCTGATCTATGACAATTGTCTTGCTCTTTATCGTACATAAAGGTAGTCACTATGATCATTTTTCGTTGAAAAGGTTGACGCAGCGGACGACGAGATGATAGAGTTAGTAGAAATGGAAATTCGGGAATTGCTTTCCGAAATGGGTTACGACGGATTGAATACACCTATCGTCAAAGGTAGCGCGCTTTGTGCTTTGGAAGGGAACAAACCCGAAATTGGAAAGGACGCTATATTTAAGTTACTAGAAGCTGTAGATAAATACATACCGACTCCAGTCAGAGAGTTGGATAAACCTTTCTTGCTACCGATAGAAAATGTTTATTCGATTCCCGGTAGAGGAACAGTAGCCACGGGTAGATTGGAGCGCGGTAAAATAATGAAGGGCAATGAGTGTGAAATATTAGGTCACAACAAAGTTTTGAAGAGCACGATAACAGGCATAGAAATGTTCCATCAAATACTGGAAGAGGCACAGGCTGGTGACCAGCTGGGCGCTTTACTTCGAGGCTTGAAGAGGGACGACCTTCGAAGAGGCATGGTAATATGCAAGCCTGGTTCGATGAAGGCTTTCGATCATTTCGAATGTCAGATATACATGCTCACCACCGCGGAAGGAGGAAGAAAGAAACCCATCCATGATCGTATTCAAACTCAAATGTTTTGTAAAACGTGGGACGTCGCAACGCAAATTAATTTAGTCAACAAAAATTTAGTCATGCCCGGAGAGGATTTCACGTGAGTATAAGTTCCCTTATACGTTATTTGAATAGAAGAATATTAAATTATCTGGAAGATACGGTAGATCGACGCTGTATTATCGTTGAACGAATTCGTTGGATGTGGTTTCATTTTTAGAGCCGTAGCGAAAATAATAAGGCCGATGGTTTGCGAAAAGGGTCAACGATTCACATTACGGGATGGACATGTAACTTTGGCAACTGGGGTGATCACAAAATTATTGATACCGCTCACCGAGAATGAACGAACGGCACTTCTCGAAGGTAAAAAGAAAAATAAGAAAGAAAAGTTGCAAGCTTAATTCGCCGAATTGTTGCATTTGTTGCGCGCAAAAGGCAACACACGATTTATTAATAAGTAGTATATTACCGGAAAGAAAAAGACGTGAATTTCAATTGCAATAAGGAGTTTAGTATTAATTTCATACGCGTATGCATTTTCCTACAAATGTACTGCAGTTTTTCTTTTCGATCAATTATAAAGTGATTTTAAACATTACGTAATTTTCTATTAAATAACATGTTATTGTAAATATGTGTTTATTTCGATGCTATGTTTTAAATATATGCAATTAAAAGTCATCCCTTATAAATATCATTTAATAAACTTGTACAAAATGTTTTTTCAATTTATTGCCACCGGAATGATTGATTTTACATGTCTACGACGCAAACTTGTGTTTTCCCCTTCGCTTTGTTTAACCGAAGTCTCACCGAAGTATACAAGACAAACGTAACGTTACGCGCGTATGTGAACGTTCCAGAAATGTTGTAACTTCGAAAACAGTTCAAGGACGATTTATTGAATCCAATACATCATTGGTACAAGCCGCTTCAAGCAGGAACAATGAAGCACACAATACGTAGTGCTTCACTCGCGTTTCTGCCATTTGCTTTAATCGATAAAAGTACCGTGGGTAGTTGTGTACACTTTTTCACTGTGCACTCGGCGTATTTTCATCAGCAACAAACCGGGGAAAGTAAGGAAAGGGACGTATGTACCGCTCTGGCCTCTTAACGAAACGAATGTTTTTGTATAGAAAAGAAAAACACTGTTTATATAATTTAAGTCGAACAAATCATACATTCACCTTCGCTTATAAAAATAGTAAACAGTCCTCATTACCGTGGACAGGCGCAACTGACTACAAACCGTACTTCACTTCAATCGTAACATTTCAAAATACAACACTGTTTGGATGTTGCAGATTACTCGCAAATACGATTCGCTGCATTGTTCAATCAATCGGTACATATGCATCAATGTGTTTTTCTTTATTCGTTCATCATCGCGTAACCGAGATGTGAAATAACAGCAAAGGTTATGTCGTTATTGTTTGGTAAAGATTCAGCTACTTTCAGAGCTTCTCCGAGAGATTTGTTTCTAGTTTGAATGTCTGTCTGTGTCTGCTGCGTGTATGTGTGTGTGTAAACAGTGACTTCTAAATATCAGCATTTCGTGGGTATCGAAAGATTCTTTCTTGCAGAATTAATCTTTTACTTTCGCCATATTCGAAAATAGCGTTTTTCATTCGTTCGAAAATTAGCAAGTAACGTACTGCATTTTTATATTGGGTGCGATAAAAAAACCTAATAAAAATTAAATTACTATAGCGGCAGTATGCTCCAAAAACTGATCGACGTACAATTCACCGGGGAATCGTACGTTGATTATACTCGACTGCACCGTGTCGTATATGTTCACGCACGCATACACATTTGCTATACACAAGTAAAAACATGAAACAAGCATGTCGAATATCGATTTTTTTAGCTTCGATGTTTGAAATTTTAAACATTTGTGCATCTATCAAATGGTACGTTCATACCGATAAGAAGTACGTTAGGCTAGGTTTATCCAATACTTGTACAAAAATTAGAGGTCACGTGTTTCATGGTCACGCACACAAATCCCTATTCGCGCAAAAGCAACGTACAATTCCTGTATCCTTTTGTTAAGACAAAGCTCGTGAAACGTGAAATCACAGAAACATTTTTACCGTTATTATCGTTAGATATCGAACAAAATTTTACGCGAATTTTAATTCCTTCGAAGAAAGAATCTTCAACCTATCAAGAGGCACAAGAACTCAACGCACAAGGTACGCCTGTATACGCTGTGCCTCTGTTCGGATCATACGCGCGACATAACAAACTAAAGGTCTTCGTCGTCCTCTGGTAATGCAGTCTCTTGGGCTTCCTTGAGATCCTTTTCTATCTGTTGCTGCCATTGTGGGTCCATGGTGACCTCGGGTGGAAGAAGCGCTGGCATAGCGACGAATTCCAAATTGGGATCACCGATCAATTTACGCGCCAACCACAGGAAAGGTTTTTCGAAGTTGTAGTTACTCTTCGCACTGATATCGTAGTACTAATAACAGAAAAAATAAATGTTAGTTGTGAAGGAAAACTATAAAATGGAAAAAAAATTAAATTCTTTTTAAGGTGGAGGAGAGTGCTACCTGTAGATTCTTCTTCCTGTGGAAAACGATGCTCTTGGCTTTTACTTTCCTATCCTTAATGTCGACTTTGTTGCCACAGAGTACGATGGGTATGTTTTCACAAACTCGCACCAAATCCCTATGCCAGTTGGGTACATTTTTGTATGTTACTCTTGACGTAACATCGAACATAATGACAGCACATTGTCCTTGTATGTAATAACCATCACGAAGGCCACCAAACTTCTCTTGTCCAGCTGTATCCCACACGTTGAAACGAATTGCCCCCCGATTCGTGTGGAAGATCAAAGGATGTACTTCTACGCCTAAAGTTGCTACATATTTTTTCTCAAATTCACCAGTTAAATGTCGTTTGACGAATGTTGTTTTTCCAGTACCACCATCGCCCACCAAGACACACTTGAAAGTAGGCATATCGGCTTCTTGTGCCATTTTGATATCGTTGTTTGACGATTTGTGTAAGTAACGAAGCGATAAATCTGAAAAATATCAGTGACGCTCAGAAAAGAATCGTTGATCGAGAGAAACAATTTCTACATCGCAGATGCTCCGCGGTAACATATTAATAAAATTTTCTATTAGATATAGTGGTAGGTGAAACATTTACACTATCGTGCTCATGAACAGCATTCACTGTTCCGAAGTAGCTAGGGAAAAATTTGATGATGCTAGATCGTGCTACATCACGCGTTAAAAACGTGATCAGGCTACACGTTTACCGAACGTAACTGTAAAAAGTAAAAATGCGTTTGTTTGATCGTTAAGCAAATGCACCTACCAAAATAATTAACTGATAATACTTTCGACGTTAGCTCAGAAAGCCGGTTGACTAATATCCCGCGCTCTCGGACTACAAGCCGACGTTGAAAGTCACCACGTTCTCTTAAGAGAATGGCGCCTCCCGTTGTACCACAGGAGACTTTCGCGCTAATCTCGAAATTCGACTACGCGCAATTATAGTGGAAATAACAAATGATCGAACAAGTTGTCGGTTAATTTACCCTAAATTTATGAAAATCCGAGGACGTAGGTACAAAATTTCCCGGCAAGTGACGTGTACGTGAAAATGACCGATAAAACTTACCCTGTGACACAGTCGTTATGGCTCACAATGGCGTTCCTTTGTCTAGACGAGTAGGGGTCCGCTTTTTCGTCATTCGCTACATACAACGAAACGCGAATTAAGATGAGCAATCACTTGGCACGATATAAAAAAATTCAGTTTGAATATTTTTATCATTCGATTGTTAAAATAATGCGTGAATATGTTATTTTTTTGGAAAAATTACGATTGTAGATTGTCACGTTATAGCGACATCTATTCCATGCGCGCCACATTGAGCCGGTACCGAAGAATTTTAGTTTTCAACGGAAAGAATCATAGTCTACGTAAGTACGGTAAATGGAACGAGGTTTTGGCGCGCGAGGGCGTTGTTAGATTGTGGACGGCGGTAAATATGAAATTCGAACATCGAGGACACTCGATGTTCCATTTTCTTCCCAGATTCTTTAACAAAAATACAAGTTACAAGATGTAACACTCCGGCAAACTTCATTTTGTATTACACGTTCGATACTGGAATTGATAATGCGGAATGTCTAAGCGAAATTGCTTTAAACACATTCGTTTGCTAACTATTCAGTAGTTGACGTTCATTTGGGTCGCTTTCTTAACGGATAAACGCATTCATGTTTACATTAAGAATCGTCGTTTCGTGGAATTGCAAGTACCTAGTAAGGTAGAGCATCAAATAGTTGAGCATAATAGTTAAATATTACTATTTAAATATTATTTAAATGCTTTCTAAACATTCCTTTTACTTCTTCTGCTGAAAAAATCTACTTTACAATCGAAAATACAGTGACTACAAAAAGAAGCAATTTACAGCAGAATACTATACACGGATTAATCTCTGTTTAACAAAATAGAAATGTCCACATATTTGATTAGCGGATACAATGTTCGAATTACATTTGCCGAATATTAAAATAACTGAAGTATCCCTAAAGAATCACTTCCCTAATATTTACTCGTGGGATCGACAGATTTCGAGGGTATTGGGAACGAACATTTTATTTTTTTACTTATTATTTATAGGAAGGGGCTACAAGGAGATCAGGGCCGATCCTGGCTAGAGTTGACGTCACTGGCGCATGCGTACCACACCGGACGGCACTGCAGAAGCAGGCGAGTTCGCGAGTATATCGATTTTACGATCGTGTCTCTCGCCGCTAGTGCGTCCGTTTCCTTTAGTTTTTAGTGGCCGTGCTCGTCGTACATGGATAAAATCGTGAATGGGATTAGTCGCTAGTTTTTCCACTTCGTACACCCGCTGACTCGCAATTCTTCGTCACCCTCGCCATGACCAAGGATAGATTAGCAGCCCTCGTCGCGGTGAGTTTCGAGTGGATACGTATATTTTACTAGAAACGAAGCCGATTCACCGAACAGTCAGTTTGCCTGTTAACTCTCTCTCTCTCTCTCGCTCTCTCTCTCTCTCTCTCTCTCTTCCTCTGTCATCCTTTCTCTTTCTCCGTCTGCCTGTTTCTTCATCTTCTTAACTCGCGCGCTTTCTCTCTCGTGTGTCTGAATTTGTCTCTCACATCGTTCGTAATATCTCTCCTACTACTCTATCTCGCGTTTCCCGACACTTCGGTTTATTATCATTTTGAGCGGCTTGTAGACAGAAAGGTTTTATTGGAAGATTTGCCCATAGATTTGGTAGACCGCCTTTCTCGCCGATCTTTTTCGCGAGAAAGACAGCCGACGAAACCTGCGGACGAACCTCTGGTAAACCTCGACAGTGTTATGGGCCGCTTTGCACTTGTAACGTTTAAAGAACCAGCCTGTGCCTACCGTATACGTGCAACTCGTTGTTGTTACATTCGTTGCAATCGTATAAATTTTTCTTCGCAAAATGCACGTCTCTGTCATTGATCGAATCGAAGCCCGAACGGATCTCGTTTACGAGGAAAGGCGTTTCCGAGGTGTCAGCCGTTCGTTGACTGTCAACTGTCGAGCACTTGAGCAGAAAGAGAGAGAAAGAGAGAATGAGAGAGATAAAGAAACAGATAGATGGAAATAAAAAGACACAGAATGTGAGAGATGTACAAAATGTACTCTTTCGAACATCGGTTGAGCATCGTGAACCGATGTTTCGCGATATTTTCATAGATTCGTTAGGAGGTGACCGATCCAACGCATGAACAGCTAGTGTCGATGACTCACAGGCATCGACTGACATTTATGAAAAGCGTGTACCGGGGCGTATCTAAGCGCGCGACATGTATTCGGCGGCCCCGGTCATTTTACGTTTCTTTTTTTCCCCCCCCGTTCATTTTGATTATCCCTGTTCCGTGGATCGGTTTGGCGGCGTTAAAATTTCACCGTATAAGCATTTATCTCGAATTCTGACAGACACCTGTCGTTCCGATAACATCACGTCGATCGTGAATGGTCGTCGCGCGATTCCTCGTTTTTCTACGGTGTTAACACTGTTAACCATCCGGCATTTACGGAAATTTCATTCGTTCGTGACAGTCGTGCACGCTCGTTGCTCGACGCTGTTTTAGAGCGCGTAAATTACGACTCGACTTCGATCCGTTCCGAAGCTCAGATACGCGCGACCGAATACAGTTGAAAATTACCGAACAAACAATCCGTATATCGAGCATTTCTTTTTCGATTCTTTTTCCTCGCGATTCTCGTATTTCGTTTCGTCAAGGTTACTATCGGTGTATCTTTTCACTTATTCCCGATACGCACGATCGGAAAGTTGACGATTCGTAAAAGTAATTTTAATTGCATTTTCCAGAGTATCGTTCAAACTTAATTCTCTCTTTCTCTCTCTCTCGTTCGTTACTCGTACGAAATGGGTTCGCTGTAGGTCGTCGTATCGCCGTGGAGGGACAGTCACAAGGGGCTCGTGATTTATAGCGGCCACGATTCCGTTGTAAAGCAAAACAGCAAAAAGGAAACGCTTGCATCACGCGAGTTTGTTGTCGAAAGGGTGGACGGAGATTTCATCGGTTTTTTGCCGGCACCGGAACGCGAAAAAGCAATTTCTCCGATGAGTTCGCCGATCGACGAAGAAGATTGGGCCTCCCTTCTCGCGCCGAGGCATTTTCCCTCTAAGATTTACATAACGAGTCGCGAGCTAATAGCCTCGATAACGACGACTCTCGAAGCGTCAGGTGTCGAGCGTCGTGCGCATCTTCGGTGCTCGCGAGACGAAAACGATTCGACATTCGAGGGTTTCGACGATCGGTTTTCCCGGCGGTCGTCGATGTCTCGTGGCGAATTTTCGCGTGGTCGGCATTTCGTGGACGGGTAGGTAGGTTAAGGAGGCACGAACAAAGACTGTTGATGAGAGATCGATGAAAATGGATTGAGCAGTGTCTCCCATACTGGGAATAAAAAGCTAACCTCAAACTCTTAGCAGATAGAATTAAGCAAAATTGTAATAGCGGAAATAAAAAGAAATGCAACCAGTATCACAGACTCGAGGTCCGCGAGCTTTGCGAAGGAAAAAGAAGTTTAATATATAATGAAAAAAAAGCACCCATTAACTTTCTATTACATAATGTACCCGATCGGAAATTCTATTTATAGAGTTACCGCAAAGTTTCCCGAGGAAATTTTACAGGATTTGCGCATGATGTGTTTTATATGTATAACAGAAAACCTTGTCAATGGAAAGGAATATGTAGAAAACAAATGTTAGAGACCGATTCGGTGCATTATGGAAATAGTAATTTAATTCTGCTGGTAGGGGGCTCGCGAAAAATTTGTTCGGTGAGGTTATGTTTGAGAAACGCTGGGATAGAAGTGACGTTGCTCGCGACCGATTAATCTCGCGGCATCGAAAGACACGATCGGTCGTCGAGAGTCGATCCAGGGGGTAGATCGGACGTGGCGAACGATTTTTCGCGGCCGTCACGGTGACACGAAACGAAACGTGAGAAACGCGCGGTCATTGATTGCGCCGGGTCAACGATAGCTGGTTCAAGAGATACAGCGAACTCGGTACGTTGAATAGGGCACGAAGTAGGGGACACGCTTGATCGTAGGGAGATAAGTATTCAAGGTCACGACGGGTTCTAATTTTAGATTACGAAGTTCCGGATACGCGAAGATCTCGTGAAATGCAACGAGCTCGATGTTTTTCAAAGTACGGGTCTCAACAGGGGCAGGGAGGTAGAGGGGACAAGAATGAAAATTTTTTATGTGGAACAGCGTGGATGGTCTCTGTTAATTTGTCACTTTAATTATACCGCATATTTAATGAATTAATTTGATCCGAAGAAAATTATGTAAATACAGTAAAATCTCGTTAATTCTGGCTAATTGGAGGAAGATGTGACCCGGATTAGTGAAATGATAGATTTAAGAGACACAAACACGCAGAACGCCTACAAGTGGGAAATGTAACAACCTCGTTAATTGAAGGGAATAAGAAAAATAAAAAAGTTGCAAATAAGTTTCTATCATTATTCGAAAAAAATTCTGCGCATCTTTGTCCCGAATTAATCGATAAACGTATTAACGTACTGCTTAGCGTGGTATTAATGTATTACTCCAAGCTTCATCCGAAAATCTCGCTGTATCTCTTTTACGGGCTAGTATACGGGAATTTTTCATTAGTTCGCTGACAAACAGAACCGTAAGCTCCACAATGCGACGGCCATAAGCGTTTCTTAATCGTACACGAGTACCGAGTATCGATCGAGTGCACTGCGTACTACAACTGCTCTGATCGTTATCCGTCCTTGTTAATTACGGCTTTGATATTCCTTTACTAGCAAAGAACTAGACAACTTCCGTACCCAGTGACTCATTAGATTTCTCGGAATCTTAATTTTTGCTACTTCCGAAAGTGGAACTGTGCCAAATTTTTTGAACATACAGTTTTTGGTTATTCCATGCCAAGTATGAGTCATCGTATTTACGCGCATACTGATAGTTAACATCCTCTTTATACAAAGTTGCAAAACGTTCCAGATTCTTTTCCTCGATGATTTCATCGTTTCCACTGACTCACATCCGAACCTTGACCACAGCTTCATTTTGGATAACCTTCTCCATTTTTCCAACCCTATACAAGCTGTTTGGCCACCCCTGGGAAAAATTTTAATAGGAGATTCTAGAGCCCAAAATAAGACGAAAATCAAGAATATCAATTTCTTGACTGAGGCTTCGTTAAAATGTTATTAACAATTAAATTTTAAAATTTCAAATCATTCTGGAAAAATTATTTTCGGTTGCGGGGTTCAATTACAATCATTTTTGATTATTACACATATCCCCGAAATCCTACGCATTTTCGAGAAAAAAATTCGAGCATGTAGACAAATTTTTTGACAAAATTAAAACATTTCAAACCGTTCTAAAAAAATTATTTTCGGTTGCGGGGGTCAATTTCAATCATTTTTGGTGAACAGACATACCCTTGAAAAAATCCTAACCATTTTCGAGAAAAAAATTCGAGCAGGTGGACAAATTTTTCGACAAAATTAAAAAATTTCAAATCATTCTGAGATAATTATTTTCGGTTGCGGGGGTCAATTTCAATTATTTTTGGTGAACAGACATACCCTTGAAATCCTAACCATTTTCGAGAAAAAAATTCTTTACCGAAAGTATACCGTGTGGCCAGAAATATTTCCCCAAAGCAGAAATCTGAAGAGTCAGAATACTCTGGGTCACGTCTTGTGATGAGATAATATTTTAGCTTCGTGATTTGCATTTAACATTGACGCAAGCAAGACAGTATTATGCTTTATCGCACTGCAAACATTCGATATTTACTCTTTCGGTTTGTTTCGTAGTTTCTTCTGTACTGTGTGAATTCGACGTATTTGCATAGCGAGAAACGCATCTTTTCGTGCTAATTTCCCAGTCTCGAATTATAAATAAAGTAAATTAATTCCTAAAATAATTAAATTAAAATAATTATAACGAGATTGAGAACCACTGGGGTTCACGTTTTCGCACAAAGAAACTTAAACAATCTTGAGCGAAGACCTTCTTTACTTGCGTTGGGAACAGAGGAAGTCGCAGAAAAGTGGAACTAGTGGCCTCGACATACTATTATTTTTTTTTTTTTCGTTTCTTTTTTTTGTTATGCGAAAGGATTGCTGAATAGAAACCGGAACGTAGTTTCGGAATTTTTAATAATTTTAAAAGCCACGGGAACTAAAAATTCGACGGATCATTACATTCATTATCAAATATTTAGGGCACGGTCGTTGAGAACCACTGGGGGTTGTATCCTCGCTCGAAAAAAGGTAAACAATCTGGTGCAAGGATCTTGCTAATGTTGGAAACGGAAGAAACCGCATAAAGAGGGACCAGTGACCTCGATATACTATTATCTCTTTTTTCTTTTCTTTTTGTGGTGGAATCTCTGCTAGAGTTGGAACTTAACCGAACACTTTAGCGTAAAATGTATATTCAAGTGGATTAAAAGTGCTCGAGAAATCAATTGCAAGATTTAACATATCGTATCTATGGTATATTTTGCGAGAAAGTGAAAAGGTATCATAACCTACAAAATTAGAGTTTCTGTCTGCGCGAAAAGGACGTTTAATGCATCACATGGTAAACTATTCGAACAGTTTCAACAGAAAACGTGAATTACGAATAATTATTAATAATTTTAAAAGGCGTGAGAGATAAAAATTCGAGAAATCGTCGGATCTGTGACAAAAACATTACTACGGTTAAGCACCGCTGGGGGTCGCGTCCTCGCGCGAAGAAACGTAAACAATCTCGAGCGAGGATCTGAAACTCTTTTACTTACGTTGGAAACAGAGGAAGTCGCGTAAAGTGAAACCAGTGACCTCGACACTATTATTATTCTTTTTCCTTCTGGTCCTCGTTTGCACGAGGGAACAGAAATATTCAGAAGCAATCGTTATCGTCGTCAGCGATTACTTTCGGGAATTAAAATAAAATAAAATACGCTTGCTCCTTAATTGGTCGTGGTACACGCTTTGTGTACATACGTTTTATCGATCGATATAAGAGCCAAGAAGACAGTCGAGGTTTTATTTACCTGCTTTACACCGTTTAAAACGAAATACAGTGAAAACTCGATAAATGTCGCTACTCCGGGTCCGGTCAGCAACACTTACGGAATAGGAGAATCGTCTTTCGAATTTGATTGTAGTTTGCCGACGCTTCGAACGTAGAAAGAGTCAGTAGCTAAAGAAGAAAGAGGGACTGAAACTCGGATTTATCGCCCCAGTTTAAATATCTGCGTCAGTGTGACCACACTACTGCACAGAAGAAAGTTTTTTATTTTTTACTTTTTGTTAATAAAAATTTCACTATCATGTTGGGGAGATTTCTCTGATTAAAATGAGGCTAAACACGATATAAATCGGTCAATATTTGGTAGCATAATATTGAATTAAATATTGTACTTGCGAGTCTTTCTCTCTTTATTTATCCTTCTTGTGCTGTCCTTTTCTATGTTCGGAAATATCAAAGAACGACGCATCGAGGTGCTGGCTACATTTATCGAACGGGAGGTAGCTATTTTCAAACGGAACGGTTCCACCGTTTCGTAAGTGATCAAAAACTGCAACACTTATGAAATAGGGGGTTTCGTTAGCTACCACTGTTCGATAAATGTAACAATCCACTGACCTTGCGAAGATATGAGTACACAATATTTAATTCAATATTATGGTAACAAATATTGGCCGATTTATATCGTGTTTAGTCTCATTTTAATTAGAAAAATCTTCCCTACATGATAGTAAAATTTTTATTAAAAAAAAGTAAAAAATAAAAAACTTTCTTCTTGTACAGTAGTGTGGTCACACTGACAGGGACATTTAAACTAAGTTGACGAAGGCAATAAAGATTTTTAAAGAAAGCCGCTACGTCTCCGGTTACACTTCGCCTCACTGGTTCAAGGGGGATCCCCCTAGTGGTGGGGATAAAAATGTATCATTTATGGAACAGCTCTTGAGGACATTTATCGAGTTTTCACTGTACATTTTCCGTGTTGCTCCACGATTAAGAACAATTACGTTTTTACGTTATTGCTCGGAGGCATTATCGATTACGGTAACAGGAAATGGGAACAACTATAGCAAGCATGACAGACGCCTTTTTCGGTCGACTACTCGTCCCAGAGCGCAGGCATACGTTCTGTTCATTGTAATGCGAACGTTCGATCGCTTTCAGAGACCCGCAAAATAGATCTTGAGGTCGTACAGGTTGTCACTCGCAGGCGGACAATTTACACGATCAAAATTACCGTATAACGTGCACGATGTGACCCAGTATAAAACAGAATGCGCCTCGTACATCGGAAGAGGAGAATTGAGCTTGAATTATTTCATTTGTCGACAGAGTTATATTTCATGTTATTTCATGGGCGTAGTATACGATTTTTTTTAGAAGTATTACAATTATAAAAATACTGTTTGTACCCCAAACTGACATATTTACCTCACATTATTGAAATAATATTTTTACGTTCTGACAAATAAATTTGAAAAGAAATTTTTTTTGTTATTTTAAATAGTTAACAGAAAGAATATCTGCTAGAGTATTGATGAGCGTTTCCCAGTATTATTCTTCATCCTATTACCAACGCTTGCGTAAGCGTCTATGATATATTTTAAAATATTTAACTTGTTACTTTAGCCCTCGGTTACTTTTAACCCCAGTCTACCCTACTTAAGTACGCGTGGTTAAATAGAGTCATGTGGGGATTTCTATTACTAAGGCGATTATTTAGGTAGTTATCGAGAGGACAAATATAAACTTTTTACAGACGTGTTTGTTGATTTTTAAACGTGCCGTCCTGAAGTATTTCAGCGCGATAAATTTCAAAATCTGATTCAGATAAAAATAGCGATCTCGCCGTTTCAACTACTTTTTTATTTATACTAGGAAAAATAGAAGTCTCGTACATACCGACTTCAGTCTGCTAGGGGCTATAAACGGACATCTACTTTACATGTGGGCGAAATTCCAAATCGATCGTTTCAATAATTCCGAAGATATCGTGTCGACAGTCCTAAGAAACATAGTGTCGAGAAGAACGTGTTGAAAACCTAGAACATGCTATCGAAAATATTCTGTAGCTTTGTTATTTTTTCGAATTTGAAAATAATACAATTTGCGTACTCTTTGATAATTTTTTATATTATGAAAACTATTCATAAGAAATAGTCGTAATTGTTTAATTTAAAATTGATCAAACATTAATGGTTTGTTTATTGATTTTCAGGCCCAGTCGGACGACGATGACGTGGCGGACGATGTGTCCGTCAACGTCGGCGGGCAAGATGACTTCATGACAGAGTTTTTCGCGGAGGTGAGTGAAAATATAATATTTTATTTAAAAAATGCAACGCACGTGGTTGATAAAAATTAATTACATACGAAAAAGACCATATTGTAGACCTTTAATTGCGACGAGAAATTAGAGGAAGGAACATATTTTTTCACGTCAAGCTAAATTGGCTAATGATTCTTTTAAAGTAGCATTTTATTTTACCTCCGGTTATCTCGACGTGGCGCAAATTAAACGAACCAGACAAGCCAACCGTTTTGCAACTTTGCTTGTTCCTCCTTTGATAGATGAATCCTGTTATAAAATTTATTTTTTTTATTAAACTTTATTTATAATATCCTAACGCATAATATTTTTAATGAAACGAATAATTTTGTGCCGTTACATTTCCCAGTTATATGTCACTAAACGTTGGTTTCTGCGGGTTAGGTTATGTTCGTTTATATTGCAATAAATATTTCTTTTATGATCAGATATTCTTATAATGTTTAGGGCAGTCAAACAATTTCTATTTGATAATATACAAAACTCTACTCAATTTTGATCCGAAAAAGACCATAGTGGGAGGGGGGAGTAAATTGCATTACATCGAAACAAGAACAACGATGGCTGACTTTCTCTAGTTACCATTCATCAAAGATTCCCCCCACCTGTTCAATTTTTTCCTTTTCTCTTTCGAATTTATTTCGGCGAGTAGGAAATGCCCGACTTTTTCTTGATTTAATCTTCCGTTCGTTGAACTCTCGCGCAATCGAGCTGTCACGACAGTTTGCCTGTGATCGACGACAACGTCAGAGGTTGATGTTCTTTCTACTTATCTTCGACCTTCGAGTCTTGACGATATCAATTCGAGTTCGCGTTCTAGAAATTGTTCTGCATCGACTTCGAAAAAAGAACCCCTAATCCGTTTCGAAAGTCTAAAACATTTCGAGTAATCTTCGAAATAAACGAATTACATAACCTACAAACATGAAATTAATCCTTGATAACCCACATTATGCTCTGTTTTTAAAAGAAATTATATAATACTGATAAGCACCGATAACGAGATTCGTGTCGAAAGATAAAGTTAAAAAATAAATTTGTCAACTGTGTCAGTCACGGTGAGAGAAATTTTAATTAACGTTCGTTTCGAATTATATTTCTTGGCCCGTACAATTCCGTCTTAATACCATTCGAATGCATTGGAACGCTCGTCTGTCTCGCAGACTGACCTTGGAAATTCGTTCTTGGTGTTTGGAATCGCTTTGTCGAATCCGTTCTAGCAAATTGTCTTCTTTATCTTTTACGTCATCGTTCCGAAGCACGTGTTATCTCCTTGTAACTCGATATTTTCTCTGAATGTATATCCTCGATCGTTCTATCGCGTCACCGTGTATTTATACGTTGTATCGTAAGCACGTCGAAACGGAAGGGCAACTCATTGGTTTCCACGTAATAGGGGTCATATACGTAACAATTGATTTCACGATGAATTGTACGTCGCGTGTTTCACAGATAGTCATACGGAAGCACTGTATCGCTACACTTTATAACAAAATGATAACGTATCTTATACTTTGTTCATATTTTATGACATAAAATTTAAAAATACCGTTTCTCGCAACAAGAAAAGTTAAAGTTACCAGTTTTAATTCGCCTTAATACGTACTCTTAATTTTATTTATTTTTTTAAGTTGAACGGGTTAACAAATTTTTTTTTCTTTTTTAATCTTAATAACGCGGTCGAATTTATGCATGAATTTCAAAATCGAAAAGCGAATTCTCAACATTCCCTTGTGGTCTAAAAATTTTTGATCGGAAGTTTGAAAATTTCGTACGTTCTAAATTAATACAGCGGAAGTTCTGCAGCAGCATTGCCAACTTTTTTCATATTCGACACTATTTTCCGCCGCCGTCAACTTTCAAGGAATTTAATTAAATGGACATTTATTGCGGTGATATTAGTGGAATGTTTAATTGTTCCGTTCGGAACGATAATTATACAAAAATAGCACAATTATTGATATCTCCGAAGCATGAATTATAAATACATGTTTCGTTCAGAATTTTGAGGTTAGTTCTCGACCCCTGAACGCGAATATTAGATAAAAAGAAATATTTGGTTTCTTTTAAATGTTTCTCGATACTCCTTGTCTGAAGTTCCATCGAAGTGGGCGTGATTTACTATAAGCTAATGTTGCTTTGGGTAATTTGGAGACCGAAGGCGCTGAATATTCGAGAATCTACGAGATGTGTCGCCAGTGGGATGCACCTATGCGTCCCCACGGAAACTCGAGGCGGAAAGCTGGTGCGCAAATAGCGTCGTCGACATCGTTGACATTTGTATCGGTTGCTATTTGCATGGGTACGCATTAACTTTGATTGCTCGATTCCCCATCCGACTTTTCTCCGTTTTCGCGCGTAGGAGGTTATGGCTGTAACAAAGGTGAAATGCCGTGTCGGTCGTTACCGTGGAAACTAGAGACGATCCTTTTGTTACGCGCCAAGTTGGTTCTTTGATGTTTCCCGATCGAACATCGAGTGTTACGATCATATTCTTTTTTTCTATTTTCAATGTTTCTAGCTATGTTTCTTCGATATATCAATCGTAATATTTATTACTTCCTATTAAAAAATAATCTTGAACCTCGCATACGTTACAATTTGCAACGAACTTGAAAAGGTGAAAGGGTTACCCGTTCACTGTCTGGACTCTCAGCGCCCGTATTCGATGCTCGGCGCTAATGACCCGTATACGGACCACGGACAGTGAATGCATTCGAATATATTAGTTCAAAGAATATAAATAGCAAATATTGTCCATTACGATCCATGTAAGTATAATAGAGAGATGACTTGTTGGCTAGGCACAAACTAAACGAGACAAGGGCAAGGAGAGAAGGTCTTCGCGCCGCCTTATTCCCACTAGCGAGGGCCGCTCTGACGTCACGCTACATAGTAGTAGGGTCTCCATAACCACGAGAGGTACATTTTTGTTCTATTCATAGCTAGTATTTTGAGCGTATGGTTACGCCAGTGTCCCTCAGTCTTGGTCCTATCCTACTCTGTCGCTATACGTTTCGTTCGTGTCCTTTGTCACGCGATGGAAGAATTGTAGTTGTGAGCGACTCAGCCAGTAACGACAATGCGTGTAAGGGCAGGCGTCGCCATCAAGTCATCTCTCTATGGTACATAGTCGATCAATGAGCTTGAGTAATACAAGTTCAAGCATTTCCGGAGTTACATCAATAACATGCTCTAATGATTTTTCATATCCTCGAGCGTGATTGGCGATAAACGTCGTTTTATGACTCACGATAAACATAAGATGTCTTTCGTAACGATTAACGCGTTTGGTCTGTGTGTTTGTGATATGCCTGTAACTTCCGCTATGTTTATCCGATTCCGATGAAATTCTGATTGGTTGTTCTTTATGTTTCGATGGGAAGTATAGGCACTTTAATTCATATAATTATGTTAAATAATAGAAGAAATAAAGAAAAATATACTAAGGGGCACCCTGATGGATAACCAAGTTCAGAGAAGTCTTTTGTTACGTTTAACGCATTTAGGTCTGTGTGTTTGTGATATGTCTGTAACTTCCGCTATGTTTATCCGATTTCGATGAAATTCTGATTGGTTGTACCTCATGTTTCGATGGGAAGTATAGGCACTTTAATTTATATAATTACAATAAATAATAGAAGAAATAAAGGAAAATATACGAAGAGGCACCCTGGTGGACGATCAATTGTAACTTATCGAGGAAAAGGAACTATTTTAAGGGTGGCTTTCAATTCAATCCTCGTAACACAGTAAATTGCAGAAAATGCTGGAGTTAATAGATGGGACTAGAGTTAATACATATTTAACGATTGTTCAACGAATCGTAAAAGAAGCAAACCACTTAAATAGACGTAAGCTTTTGATGAAACGGACGAACAAAGATTGCAGTGGGATTAAAATCACTGAGGAGATGGTCAACCTCTGTATGATACTAAACGTGTTATACCTACGCTAAAACATGGTAGTATAGGTGTCGTGATAGAGTCAAAGATGATCGAATCAATATGGAAACGTACACGAACATGGTAGCAGAAAGTTCTGAAGCCATCAATAGTTTTCAAACAAGATAGTGCTCCTTGTCACGCCTCGAAGAAAACTTCAAAGAAAGCACATGTCACTGAGATTACGTAACATCTAACATTCTCGAGTCTTTAGTATATTATTTTACCAGAAGCAATTTTTTATTTTTCATAATTCAAAATAGGAGCAGATCACAAAATATGTTTTGAGTGTAAAAAATTTCAAAAATGAAAAAACGGTGTTGAAGTCGCTGGAAGCGATTAAAATTCAGATAATAGAGTTTTTTGGTTAATGAGGGGCGGACTCGATCCTCTGTAACCCCACTCCTAGTATCCGCCCCCGCGTACTTAAACTTAGTATCTGATCGAAAGTCATATTCCGATGGGATTAAGGTTAAGATTATGCAAAGACGAAAATCGATTATTTTTATCTGAAATTATCAATCTGGTTTGTTTAATATGCCACACCGGCCATTTTGTTATGACTATAATTTTCTCGGAGTACCAACAAAATGGTAGCAGTATTTGCGTAGCAAAAGAAGCAAATCTACTATCTTTGTCAGAAGCGTGTATACGTTATTTGACGCCATTTGTTTTTTTTCCCCAGGTGGAGGAGATCCGCGAAATGATAGACAGGATCCAGATGAACGTAGAAGATGTCAAGAAAAAGCACAGTGCCATTTTATCGGCGCCACAGACCGACGAAAGTGAGTTTTAATAATTTTATATTAAATAAATAAATCCGTTCGTCTCGAACGGCCTTTGGAAACTGCGTCCGTTTCGAACGATATAATTATGGTCGCCGTTCGCAACGCGACGCGTTCCACGAGTTATGTTCCAGTTTGCAACAAATTATTTTTCATGCGAGACAATTGTCGAAGGCATAGACTGACACAACCACTGGTTTAGATAAGGGTAGTAGAGAGTGAACTGAATTCTAGAAAAGTAATTCCCTCGTTTAATCTAGAATCCAATAATCTCGGGTTCATATAACCTAGAAAAGTCTTTTTCTTATCTTGGTCCGAGCGAAGGCTAGCATGTGACGTTCGACGAGGAGAGCGAATGAAATACAGTAATCTCGGTTAGAAGCAAAATAATCAGACTCGATCAGTTTCATTTAATCGTGGAAGATACTGCTTTCTTATCGTGAATTAAGGGCTGAGGCTCGAAAGTAACTAGGGATATAGCAGACGCCGGTTGTACGCGACAGAATCGGATCGGTTCGATTTCGTGTAAGGCGATACTTTCTTATCGAGAATTAAGGGCGAATCTGAGCAGTTTGGATGATATATTCCGGACGTATAACTCCTTCGCTTAGTCTTGAATCCCATAATCTCGGTCTCGTATAGCCTGGGACTATTTTTACATGCGACGATCGACGGGAAGAGCAAATGGAATACAGTAATCCCCCGTTATATGCAATAAAACCAGTTCGAGTTCTTGGAATCGTCGATGGCGCCACGATTGATTTTTATACGAAGTTCATTGCTTCGACACGATCTCGCAAATGGCAATTCTCAAAATTTCATTAGTCGAAGAAAATATTTTTTACAATATCGTAGCACTTCGTCGTTACTTCTGCAATCCGCGTACGCTCAAAGACTGACAATGAGATTCGGTTCGTTGAAAAACTGTGTCACGTGTCTCGATATCAATTGGCCGTGAACAAGATTCCCTCTTTCATTCCGTACTCGTTACGAGCTAATTGCGAACAACCAGCTTCCATGCGATTGTCTCTGTTTTAGTAATTACAAGAGCAAAATCCGCCCCGAGGGGTCCGTTCCGCGGTGTGTCCGTGCATAGCGCTGGATTAGCTGGCTCCTATGGTTTCCTTTTGTCGAGGGTAAACGTAATCTGGAAACCAGGACCTGAAATCGCTTTCTCCCATCTGGCTCCCGGAGTTGTCCTTCGAGACTGCGGAAAAGTTCCTTCCTCGGTAGGGGAGATTCGTCGTTTACTTTGGGGTTATCGATCTACGCCCGTCGAGACGACTCTCTGCGTAGAAAGACGCGCGACTGACGTCGTTTCCATATCTGGCGTCTTTGCAAATCTTATTCAGAGCATTGAATAATAATTTCAGACTTATTCGTGGATCAACTTTTACGTTACGTTCGTAGTATTTATCAATTTTGTGTACTAACATCGATCGGTAATCCGCAACACATGGCTGCACCACCGGTTGACTGTTTCAAGATGGCCGAAAGTCGTTGAGATAAAATGTAAAATATACCCCTAACTAGAACTTTTCTTCTATTAATTTTGAACAGAATCATTTCAGGAAGTATTAGTATATTTCAGAGATTTATTCTCGACCACCATTATTCAGTTATATACATTGTAAACACCTAAATGTTCCGTGAGGTTCGTTCTTCAACGGTCTTCTTTGTCGTGGCTTGACCGATCCTTTCACTGACAAATTGTCGTCCCCTCCGGGCAGGACAGGTCAAAGATCGTATTACAGTGCAAAGTAGACGGGTCACAGACTAAAAAACTGAGAATCCTGGACAGCTGTACACCCCATGGTTCTCGACCCGACCGTAGGTCACACGAACAGTAGACTGCAGGTGGCTGGGTCTCTAAGAATTCCAGGAAAATATGCGCTAACGGGTGAAACTTTCCTCTTTCGTCATCTACCGCAGAACACGTCACATCCCCGAGCACAAACATACCAATCGCGCATGTTCTCCTATCAGCATGTAAAACCGTACCGATATAAAAGTCCCTTAACACTTTGGCGTCTGCTGACGTAGTCCTACGTCATTGTGCAGTCTGTAACTGGCCGTCACTGACGTAGCTCGCCGCCATTTTAACCCTGTTGTTCCCCTCCCGGTTACAACACACGTTTCTACTCCTTCCACGTGTTTCCTTTGTATCAAGAACGGAAATTCTCTTTAAGGGGCACATTATAACGGGAAAAAGTAACGTCAAAGGTGATATTTATTGGAAGAAGTAAGATGTACAAAAAAACAAGCGTCCTTTCGTTCGACTGTTGCGTCTGGCACTGTCGCGTCACGCGACCTTCTCCATCGTTCTTCTCGCTCTTTCTCGTGTTCTCTATCTCGCTTTCTTTCTTTCTCACGCTTCGCACTCTTAGCACGCATCACAACACGCGCGTATCGGGTGGCATCACGTAACGGGTGTCCCTGCAAATATTACACATACGAAAAATAACAAATTTTCTCGTCGCTACGGCTCGTTACAGCGAACGTTGTCCCGGTTGGAGGCTTTTCTGTCGAAGTTGGTGTAAATTGCAATTACGTAACGTTCCTTGGACCAGCTCTGGAGATATTAATTTATCGAATTAGCAGCGGCTATGTTCGTTCACGGTCCGTGGCGTGTTGGATCGCGAGACCCGGTCAGCTGTTGCTGATTCGACATCCTTCCCGTCCTATTTGCTCTCGCGATTAAGGCCTCGTAGCAAGTTGTTTCCTCCCCGCGGCGTGGCTATTCTGATCGGTGACTTCTCGCACCTACATATCTTCGGGTCGAAGCTCCAGGGAAATAACGAGAGAGGTTAACGTCGAACGAAATCGTACGGAGGAAAGGAGTAGGCGTTTGCGTCTAGCGTCGCCGAAAGGATCGATCGAGCCCCTTTTCTCCTTGCAAGGCGAGGAATATGTATCCCGAATATCCCGAATCGTGCAACCCCCCGATTGGCCCGACGTTTTCCCCCGGAAGGAAAACTTGGGGAAATTGTTTCGACCGGTGCAACGTATTCTGGAATTCTTCCTCGTCCCCGTACGATCGCTTTCATACTTTATGTATACTATTCTTTCTCGAACATCCGCCCAACTACCCCCTCTGTCCCTTAAAATTGATTTTGACGAAACTTTGCAGATTCGTAGAGTCGAATAAAGGGGATACTTTTTTAGTGGCTGAAGCGACTCGAGTTAAAGGGAGGGGGGAGGGGGCCACCCTGGAAAGTTTCATCCCCTAATGGTATCTCGAAAACTTTTGGAGATACAAGACACCGCGAGACAAGTTCCCATGTATGGTTTTTAACGGAACTAGCTGTTCGCACGTGTCGTTAAAAGATATTAGTGGATTAAAAAAGAAATAATTATTTTAATTGAACGAATTTTAATTTAAAATTTAATTTAAATTTAAAGTGAAATTTTTTAAATTAGACAAGTATTTAATATTTGTGAATCTTTTCTACCAATGCAGAATAAACTGCAGGTGGCAGCAAATTTCGGAGAAAATTAAACTGGTCCGCCCAGTTTCGATCTGACGCTCGCCAATCCATATGATTCAATAGCCGGGGGTTGCACTTCGAGTATTGCTGGTTTAGCATTTAAACTTCTTCACTTTGACACGGGATCGTATCTACGTAATATAATACGTCTTCCATCTCCTTTTGGGAACCAAAACCTCCCTCTCACGAATCATGTTTTATTTTAATGAAATTCTTTTTCTCGCTCGAATATTGAGCGTATTGAAACGTAGTTTGTTTATTCAATATCCGTTTCGACCTTTAACTTATATCTTCTTTAGAAAAAGAAACGTTATTTATAAGTTCAATCGATAGCAAGCCAATAACGATTAATCAGAGCGATAAAGCGAGTAAAAGAAGTGGAAATTTTTAAATAGAGACGCCAGGTTATAAAATGTCGGAATCAAAAATTATGGAAGATACTATTTGACTGTTCCTAAAGTAATTATAATTAAGAAATTAGAGATAAAAATATTAAATAAATAAATAACGCTTACACCGTAAGGTGGGTCTATTTTGACCCGCGTGTTTTAAAAAATCGTGAAATTTTAGTTTCTACTAAATAATAGTAAATACATTGTAGAAATAAATAATACCGAAGAATTTACAAGTGTATTAAATTCCGGGTCAAAGTGGACCCAGAGTTCGACGTTCGATCAAGAACGACCCTAAAATTTGTATTCGTCGTTCGTCCATAAAATTTTCCCCGACCCTAATTATTACTGTTATTAAAAGTTCCCGTTACGAATGTGCCGCGTCGCGTTATCGTGTCTTCCGATCGTTGCAATTACACGATTCCTTCCGTCATATTCGTCCCGAAATAGCTGGTTGTTGAAACTGACGTCGTTCGCAGCGAGTCGGATAATATCGATCAGAGTAGACGAAAGAATGAAATGTACGGACACGAAGCGAATCAGAGATGAGAGAACGTCTCGGGAAGAAGGAGGGAAGATGGCGAGGACGAGGGTGGAAACCAATAGGCGTTCTCGACTTTCATCTTCGAGCGGATTCAATGATATATTGACAACGTCTTTATTACACGCCCGAAGAAAGTGTACAATATCGTGTATCGAACGGACAATATTGCTCGAACGTACCGACGCGGGCTGCCTTCGAACTTAACCTGAAAATATATTGCATGGATCTGTAAAAAAATTCAAAGAAATTTATTTATTTATTTTTTTAATTTTTAAAGGCAATTTCTACGGAATATTTTTTTAATACTTTTTTTGCGTTTATTGTGGGCGATGGTGAATGGTCGGGAGAGGTTAATACGGATCAGATTGGCGAGGTAAGAAGGAGATGAAGCGCGAAGGATCTGGCGGACGGTGGGGTGGGTGAAAAATCCATCTCTGCCTCGCCGCTGAGCCAACCTGACATTTCGAAAATGGCAGAGACGTGATCATATTCGCGAGATAAATCGGGGCTATTATACACTCGCGAAGGCTTCGCCTTCGGGCGGTTTTTAAATCCGGCGTGGGCGGCGGAGGAACT